ATCAGAAAGGGGTCCTCGTTGTAAGGCTTGAGAAGGCGAGCTGACGGCTTGGTAGTCCAGGTGAAGAGTGCATTGGAAGCTGAGACAATTGTCGGTGGCCCTATGTTCCCGGTTGTTTTTGACTTCTATTTTGTGGTTTCGAAAGGATAACATTTGATAGTATATGCTAAGAAGCAGCATGTTCGAAACGTGATGGTAGTCTTTTCGTGAATGTAATTGATCTGAAGCCGTTGCTCTGTGATGTAGTACTGCTGCGATCGTGTGGTCTCGATGAAGAGTTGGACACCTCTTTGGAGGGCCATGTTCTGGCCAGTCGCTGCTGGATAATTTAATCTCTCTGAAGCCAGAGAAGTTTATCATCTTCGTATCCTCAACCGCCAATATGTTTTGTTCTCTCTATTCCACAAGAGATCTAAGGTTGTTGACTTCAAGTAGAAGTGGCGAAGTGAAGTGGCGATTCGCATTCCACGTCCATTTATCGGTATTTTTGCAGACACATCCAATATCGGGGTGAGATAAGCCGGCCTGCTTTATGAGCGTGATCTATAGGTTCAAAAAGAGGCATTGTTCGAAGAGAGCGAGAAAAGCAGTCGGGGTCTGACTTGCGTTGGTTTGCACGGGCCAATTGGGTATGTTTGAGAACGTATTTGCGAGCTGAAGGAGATGAAACTTTGGCATCTTGTCAGTACAGTCTCACGCCCACACACACCTATCAATACTATGCCTTTCCCATTGCCCTCCCATTGGAGCATTTCCAATCTTCCTTGGAGATCGGAAGTGTCGCAGCCGTCGCCGTGTAGTATCTTGTTCTTCTTGGAGCCAATCTCCATGCCCTCCGAGCAAAGTGCACGGCGTTGAGGGTATCTTCATTCTCCCAGATCTAATGCTCTGCTGTCAAAAACCTAGAGGGCTATACGCTATAGCTCTTCTTAGCTCACATCTCATAAGATTTTGGTTGCCTCCCACTCCGCGGAGCAGGTTAGCTAGTACCCAAGGCGCTCAAGACTTGAGGTAGCAGAGAATGGAGATTGAGCCCCTTTTCGAAAAGGATTATCGGCTACGCAAAAGTAGCTACCCGAAGGCGCACCCTGCTTGCAGCGGTGGAGCTGGACTCCAATTCGTAGTTTGTATGTTCTTGAAGTGCGTTCAAGTCTGCGGCATCTGCTGTGAGGACGAAGTCCTTGATGAGGACTGAGGCTGACACGAACTTGAATATGCGGTAGGGAGTGAGGGTAGGGAGTGAGGGTTTGGTAGATGTGTTTCGAACAATTCGAATGTATATATCAACTGCTATACCCCTAGACGCACACAGGTTAGCTTTGAGCATCTATCTCTGTCCTAATGCAGATAAATGACCCCTGATTGCTATACTTCTTGTCGGGATTGAATTTCTTTGTCCAAAGGAGTAGAGACACTTACCTCTGTGCGTTTCTCTGAGTCTATAGATCATCGGCCGCCCTCACATCTTTGGCAAAGATAGAGGAGTACCTAAGACTATGCAGACATGGTCGTGATCCTTAGGATGATTTGCTGACAAGGTTGGGAGCTGGTGTGGGCGATCTAAGCCCCCAAATTGTTAAATCAAGAGATAGATGCCAGGGTGATTGGCTGTCTGTCTTGCGCATAGACTCTACAGGTCGTAGCAGGTAGATACAAGTGTTTTTTAAAGGTCTTCAGAGTTAAGGCAGGGACAAACCAGTGTGAAAAGTCGCTGATGGCCAGAGGAGTCCAAGGAGGTGAATCCGATGGAGGCCTTTTTTTGACGGAGAAGATCCATCCTTAAGCTTCAGAACTAAAGGGTGTGGTTGAGGGATATTAGTCGAAGATATACCGAAGTTTTCGGTGGTGGTGATGGAGCTCTTGGGGTTGGAAGCCAGATGAGGTGGAGGTCGAAGTCGAGGGGGAAATTTGACGAAGTTGTTAGCAGTAGATAGCGTCTTTTGGGGGGTAAAGTATCCAGGCAAGCGATTCATTCCAAGCCTATCGGTGGGTGATCTCGAGTTCAAGCAGTGTCTGCCCCCTCTGGGATTCATACAGGATATATTCAAGTGCATCTCATATTTCCACGACGATATTGAGAGCAAATTACCAGTCAGTGCAGAGACGATCATGGCCACGGCGATGCTAAGATGAAGAGATACCCTAGGTAGCCATCAAGGAAAGCAAAGTCGACCTGATACCACCGATGGAGAACGACAGCTTCATCAGTTAACACAACAACAAGAACCCCCGACAAGGACAGTAAGGGGTGGTGAGCCTGAAGAAGTCAGGATGCGACTCACAAGCATGTCAACCTCGTTACTGTCTCCATTAACACAACAAGAACCCCTGACGAGAAGGAGTAGGGAGCTTGAAGAAGTCAAGATGAGACTTACAAGCATGTCAACCTTGTCAGTATCACCATGCCAGCTCGCAGGCAGCTCGCAGGCAGCTTCGCGGCTTCAGAGAACTTAATCATTTGCTACAGTATCATAGTTAACATCTGCAGGACCAGCTTCGAAACCTATCACCAGGCAATTTGCTTGTTCATCGAGACCACGAACCCTACTACCACGTCGGCTCCAAAACCGAAAGAAGTGCGCTACAAATTACTACCCAAGAAGTGTGCAATCCGAAGTGCTAAATACATGCTCACGATGACCATATACTTCATGGAATATGAGCGAAGCAACACAACGCGAAGGGAAGGACATATGCTTGTAATAGAAGATGTAGGTAGGATTCTTTGTTTCTATTTGAGAAGTACTGATGAACTGCATAGTATCAACATTCCTGCGAAAGGTTCTAGCACTCGCGAGGAATGCTGTATTATCCCTTGCCACCACGAATTTATACCTACGCAAGGCATGCCATTATAACAGAAGCGCAACGCGACAATACACATTTTCTACGGCTCAAAATTAGGCCTCAAAAGTCCCTATACCTCCAGCGACGAAAAGAAACGATACAGGGCACCATCAAGGCAGAGTCAAGATAGATATCGGGCATGACCTCCTTGCTTAACGCTGTTCCGAGTTTCGCACCTCAAGCGTCACTTGAATTATATCAATTGACAGTTAGACGTATCCTACTTCGGAGCGGCACCCAAAAACACCAACTTGTCAACAATATCAAGCAGTGCGAACTGTTCGATGGCAGGGTCATGGATGGCAGATCAATACTGTACATGCATCAGGATTGTACAGGCGAAACATAAAGGGATGTGAGGTTAGTTCATGGATGCACAGCTTGATAAAACATTAACTAACAATCAAGACATTAAGACCGAGCCTAAAAGACGATCAGAAGCAATACAACGAAACCGATAAACCAACATAATTGACTACCCCTCCTCGAACTTCGTATTACACCAATTGTCTAGGTACCACTTGCTTGCATTCCAACTACCTCAATACCACATTCTTTGCCATCCGGGCATGGGACAACAGTCAAACGACTGTCTCATAGGAATAAAATGCCTACGAAGATTGGAGAGGGTTCATTACTTCAAGGACATTGGAGGGACTGGAACAAGGGAGAAGTATTCTGTCGACGGTGGTGATAACAAGTCATCTGCTGACTAGAAAGCAAGGTAACCTGCCAACATCAGGTGCAATTCAAGAGCCGGCCTCATATTCTATGGGCTATCTGGGAATACAAGGAAGCCACCACAGGGCCAGGAACAGCGACCAAATCGATTCCGTATCGAGAATGAGCACCATCACTTAATCTGATACGACGAGTTTATTGGTTGACGGCTCTTCGTTGCAGGTCAGCGATCTGCCCTAGGCAAAGAAACCGATGTAGGACATGATCATTTCGTACAAAGCTGAGGCCGTTGGCGCTATGGTATTTGAAAAATAGAGACTGGGTGCTGAGGCTTCATGCAAGTGGACATTCCGCCAGTTGCCTGGCTTCCTGAGTGGAACGAATTTATCTATGCGGTTGCATCTGCGTCTAGCAGCGTCCGATTGATGAAGCTTTGTCGGAGTCGAGTATCCTAGTTTCCCAAGAGAACGTCTGCTATCATGCTACCCACCAGCTTTGCCGCTTGAGGAGCGTTGGCTAACGGCAGGCTCGTCTGGCGCAAGGTAACTACCCACTGCTGCCACTGTTCCACAATCTTGTTCAAACGATACTACCAGCAGAATTAAGAAGTCTGGTAAGAGGAGACATGGTTGGGTTACAAATAGCCAAATTCATTGTCTCAACAACATGTGCCTCCACGACGTGACAAAAAGCAAAACTCTGGTATTAACAATCCTCTCCAGAGGCGCTGTATCATCAAGTATGTAGCATAGTCGCAGTTGCATTTCGCTCAATCAATTCCAAGAAATGCAAGATCAGAAAGATGTTTTGGTGGAATACATCCTCAAAAAAATGACAACCACAACAGACGAAGTTGAGAGATGTTCTGCACTGGTTCAGTAGATACAAATAGACATCCCTTATGTGTCTTATTGATCTATAGCTTGGCTCATACACAGCCATTCACAAAATAACGCTTTTAATGCATGCACTTTCCCAAGGCCACGGCCTTTTACATTCGAGGCAAAAGTGCGGACGAATCAAAAGGGAGTGAGGGCAAGCGACACAGACCAATCTGGACCATACAAAACATCGACAGGCACAAGTGAAAGCAGCATATCCAAGCACAAAGTGAATGATAGCAGATCCATCGCAAAACCGAGTGAGTTTTGTGGTTGAGAGAAAGAATGAAGTGTGCTGTCAGCTGTCATTGCGCTAGGCTAGGCTAGGTACGCAGTAAGGAAAAACACCGGCCCGAAGAATATGCTATTCCGACTTAATCCTAGTGCTCTTCTAGTAGCTTCTTTCTGTAATAACCCCGGAAATATTTTTTGAGATGATGCTGCTGCTGATCCAACACAACAAACCAACACCTTTCCAACTCTTCATCCTTCACGCAAATCCCTCAAATCTCCAGTCAGATCTTTTACGGATCTTTCTCCTCCTTTTGTACTTATATTCTGGTTTCCGCGTCATAGTAGCAGCCTTTGAAAATGCAGAGAGCTTTGACTTCGAGGGCTTCGGCTTTGAGATCAGCCTCGAGCCTTCGTCCTGTTCTTTCTGGCTTCAATGCCCAGCAGTTGCGGTTCGCACACAAGGTATGTGATGAGTGATGAGAGCACAGTTCTGCGGAAGATCAAACCACGAACAGTTACTAACAAATTTTGGCAATAGGAGCTCAAGTTCGGTGTTGAAGCTAGAGCTTCCCTCCTTGCTGGTGTTGAGACTTTGGCAAAGGCTGTCTCAGTAACCTTGGGGCCTAAGGGACGCAATGTTTTGATTGAGTCGAGTTACGGATCACCAAAGATCACCAAGGGTCCGTATTACATATTCTCAATTCTGCTATCGATCATGCTGACTATTCGTAGATGGTGTGACTGTTGCTAGAGCCATTACCCTCAAGGATAAATTCGAAAACCTCGGTGCCCGCCTCATCCAAGATGTTGCATCGAAAACAAACGAGACTGCTGGTGATGGAACCACAACCGCCACTGTCCTCGCCCGAGCCATCTTTTCAGAGACTGTCAAGAACGTTGCTGCCGGATGCAACCCAATGGATCTCCGCAGAGGTACCCAAGCTGCCGTCGAAGCGGTTGTTGAGTTCCTCCAGAAGAATAAGCGCGATATCACCACCAGCGAGGAGATCGCGCAAGTTGCCACCATTTCTGCTAACGGCGACACACATATTGGAAAGTTGATTGCAAATGCTATGGAGAAGGTCGGAAAGGAGGGTGTTATCACTGTCAAGGAGGGCAAGACTATGGAGGACGAGCTTGAGGTCACTGAGGGAATGCGATTCGACCGTGGTTTCGTCTCGCCATACTTTATTACGGACGTCAAGACCCAGAAGGTTGAGTTCGAGAAACCTTTGATCCTTCTCTCCGAGAAGAAGATCTCTGCTGTTCAGGACATCATCCCAGCTCTCGAGGCTTCCACCCAACTCCGCAGGCCTCTGGTTATCATTGCTGAGGACATCGATGGCGAGGCTCTCGCCGTCTGCATCTTGAACAAGCTCCGTGGTCAACTCCAAGTTGCTGCTGTCAAGGCTCCTGGCTTCGGTGACAACCGCAAGTCTATCCTCGGCGATCTCGGAATCCTGACCAACGCGACCGTCTTCACTGACGAGCTCGACATCAAGCTTGAGAAGGCTACGCCAGACATGTTCGGAAGCACTGGCTCAATCACCATCACAAAAGAAGACACAATCATCTTGAACGGAGATGGTAGCAAGGATGCTATCAGCCAACGTTGCGAGCAAATTCGTGGAGTCATGTCAGACCCAACTACCTCTGACTACGAGAAGGAGAAGCTCCAGGAGCGTCTTGCTAAGCTGTCCGGAGGTGTTGCTGTTATTAAGGTCGGTGGATCATCTGAGGTAGAGGTTGGTGAGAAGAAGGACCGCTTCGTCGATGCACTCAACGCCACCCGCGCCGCTGTTGAGGAGGGCATCCTTCCCGGAGGTGGAACTGCTCTTCTCAAGGCATCAAGCCAAGCTCTTAGCAACATCAAGACCGCAAACTTCGATCAACAACTCGGTGTTAGCATCGTTAAGAGCGCGATCACCAAGCCTGCTCGCATGATTGTTGAGAATGCAGGAACTGAGGGTTCAGTCGTTGTTGGCAAGCTCACGGATGAGTTCGGAGCCGACTTCAACAAGGGATATGACAGCTCCAAGGGCGAGTACGTTGACATGATCGCTGCTGGTATCGTCGATCCTTTCAAGGTTGTCCGAACTGGTCTGGTTGATGCTAGCGGTGTTGCATCATTGCTTGGTACAACCGAGGTTGCCATTACTGAGGCTCCTGAGGAGAAGGGTCCACCAGGACCACCGGGTGGTGGCATGGGTGGTGAGTAACTTCATTTGCTTTCCAATCCAAAAGACTAACAAAATATTAGGAATGGGTGGTATGGGCGGAATGATGTAAAAAGCTGAAACTAAAATTCGACCTATGTAAAATACCCTCCGCCGCTGCCATACCCTCCAAGTCGCCAGCTAGGCAGCTGAAACGACTGCACGGCTTTTTGACTTTATACGTTGTATAACACACTCTACTCTTTATCACCCTGTCTTACAATTGGTATTGGCGGAGCAATTTGATGTTTTAGAACAAGAAGATTATAGTATGTAAAAATAATGAATACAAGAAGAAATCAAACAAACATGTCATATTAAAATCATTCTACCGTTGGGTATCATATATTTACAGTACACTTCTCAAACATTCATCATGCAACTCTCACCCTCATGCCATCTCCAAGGGCCTTATATCAATGCTCTACCGAGCCATGACGAAGGATTTCCTCTCCGAATGATATTCTCTATGATCTGATTGCATGCAAAATGAAGATAATAGAGTATTTTCAGAAGAAGGTCTCACTTGATAATAATGCCCACCAACTCCCAATCCAATCATATCTGCATTGCTCAATTTCTAGGCTTAGATCAGCTCAGCTCCTGCGGCTTAATAAGTGTTCAGACAGCCAGGCGAAGCTTACCTGAGCAACTCATATCCACCTGATCAGTTGCCAAGGTTGTTACCCGTCCAGTCCCGTATAGAGACGATGTCACTTGACGCGGTTTCCTGCTTACTTTGCCTTCCATGGCTAGTCTAGCGCCTCGGTAGCAGCATAATTCATTCATTGTCTTCGACTTTGTTTAATCATCCTTCGCTGTATCCTCGTATTATATCAGTACCACATTATCTGCATATACGACGGGGACTTGGCATATAAGCTTATAGAGTAAGGTATACGCTAATTCTGTCTCATTTTGAATTGTCTAGTGATTCTGAATCTGACACTCAACTTTCCTATTCCTTATTTTTCATTACCACGGCGTGCATACTCGGCGGTTCAATGGCAAAAGCAACGTTCCTTTCCATATACTTTTGGATTTGTAACTACGTTCCAATGCTTTCTAAGGTCTGCATTTCATTCATACCTGCCTTTTTTCAGTTATCTTCTCCTGAAGTGTTGCACCAGTGTCCATTTACAGCTGCTACGGAGTTCCCAAATTGACAAGTAAAGCCGGGGAATCTCCCCTAGTTGTATTGGGCACATTGCATAGTCATTATGTCCTGATGTATGACCATTCTTGTGGTGAGGGAGGTTTTTTTTATCCACCTATTAAGGTATATCTTACTGTCTCCGTGCGCAAAATTCAAGCCGGGAGTTTCTCAGCATAATAATCAAATCAGCGAAAGTGTCTCCGAAGTCTCGTTCGTGGGGAGCAACACGAGGTAGTACGAAGCATATCCCATTGCCATACCCGATCTTATGCCAAGCATGTGCCGGAGACATGACCAGAACCGGCGCCAACTTGATCTATAAGAGAGCTGCTTGCAACGAGAAACGAGAGCACAGCATCTAAAGTCTCCTATCATACTCTCCCAGAAACTCCTCTTCAAAATGTTCCCCAAAACCCTTGCACTCCTCATAGCTTCCGGCCTCACAGCCCAAGCCACCCAATCTTTCAGCAACACCGGCACAACCACTGGCTGGGACGCTATATTCATAGATTCCGGCACCAAAGGCACAGTCCAACAAGTCACTAATGTAGTCTACCAAGGTCCCTCGGCCCTCAAAATGACCCAGACTTACGACTCCAGCTACACCGGCCGGTATCACTCCGAAGTGCACCACTACAACGCCATGAAAAAGGGCGATACCGGCTTTTACGGCTTCGCATTCCGTCTCGAAGCAGACTGGCAATCGTCGCCGGCGCAGTCATACAACATTGCGCAGTTCATAGCCGACTTCACTGACCTCGACTGCGGCGAAGATTATATGCCCGGCACCATGGTTGAGATTCTCGGTGACCAACTCGTTACTCGCAGAAAGTACGGCAGTGTATGTCCGACGTCTTCGCAGCAGACGGAGTATTATAACAACTTGGCCACAATCACTCCAGGTGTGTGGCACAAGGTTGAGATCCAGGCCAGTTGGCAGAGTGATATCTCAGGGTTCCTGAAGCTTTGGCTTGATGGCAATAAAGTGCTGGAGGAGTTGAATGTTGCTACCTCTGTTACTGATGGGAGGGCCTTTGAATTCAGGGTTGGGCTTTATGCGAATGGTTGGCATGATGATAAGGAGTTGAAGGGTACTCAACCAACGAGACAAGTCTGGTTTGATGAGATTGGATTGGGTACGGCGTTTGCGGATGCGGATCCTGATCAATGGTAGCTGGGATAGATGATTGAATGATGGGGTGGAGTTATTCTATATGAAGATAGAATTTGAAGTATGGGAGGGGTTCTGGGAAAAGGTCAATATCAGCCTCCTCTATTACCCCGGCCGCTTCCTACTCAAACCTATTTCCGAACCCATGTGTGCTTACGGTCTTTGCAACATCCGAGTAACATTCTCTTGCTCATCAACTGCACACAAGAATTTACTTCAATTGCGTGACTTTTAGGCATGGCTTATTTTGAGAACCAAACTATGGTGCCTATTCTATACTTAGAAGCAACTGCCTAGGACGAACGTGTTTGTAGAAAAATATCAAATAGGAATAAAGTAAAAGTTGCCTGCCTACCTTGCACTCCTTGGATTTTATAGAGCTGACGTTTGTTATTGCTGAACCTGACTAAACCGCACCACGTGATCGGGCAGGCATCCCACCAAGGCCTTCTGTTCGCAAAGCAACGACCAGAAACAACCACCCCACCAAAGCAATAAACACCGCAACCCATAAACTCGAATACCTGCCCTCGATCTCCAAACTCAAGAACTCCCACCGCATAGCATAACCGCATCTTGCATCTAATAACCTACCGAGTCTCTTGTACGTCTGGGCCGACCTCCGTTCTCTCGGGAAAGCGGGGTGTTGATTCTTCTGTTATCGCATCGCTGACGATACCTACAGGTTCATCATCAATTGATTTTCCCCTCCACACAAACCCGTCTTCACCATGGTAAGTTATCTCGACCTATTATTTTGTAGACCGGTGCACCTGCTAACATGTTCCACGAACACAGTCTCAATCAGGGTCAGTGCCACCCGCCTTGTCTTTTCCCGAGCCCTCGACTCTCAGCCCACCCCCATGACAAGCAACAAAGTTCGCAGAGACAGGAAAGCTGACAAGGATATCCATTTGAACAGATGCTCCATTTCGCCCGATTGCGTCGCAAAATTCAACGAGCTGAAGCTCAACAAGAAGATCAAGTACATCATTTACAAGTTGACGGACGACTATAAGGAGATTGTTGTTGAGGAGACCAGCGAGGATGGCGACTGGGAAGCTTTCCGCGAAAAGTTGGTTACCGCACAATCGAAGAGCAAGACTGTATGTACGGTAACTCAACCAGGGGGTGCGGTTGCTAACACCTGAGATAGGGCAAGGTTGGCAAAGGTCCAAGATATGCTGTCTACGACTTCAACTACGAGTTGGCTTCGGGTGAGGGATCAAGGTATGGTTGCTTTGCAGAAACTAGGAGATGCGCGCTCACAAGTGATGTAGGAGCAAGATCACCTTCATCGCGTGGTCCCCAGATGATGCCGGAATCCAGGTTTGTCCAAGCAGCCACTCCCTCCGAATCCTCAATGCTAATAAATACAAAAGCCCAAGATGGTCTACGCCTCCTCCAAAGACGCCCTCAAGCGCGCTCTGAACGGAATTGCTACCGAGTTCCAAGCAAACGACGAAGACGACATTGAGTATCAATCCGTCCTCGCAAAGGTCAGCAAGGGTCTGGCATAAACATTCCTTTCAACTACCACGAGATTACGATATGACGGGAGATGGACGGACGGACAAATGATGGGAGGATGTCTGTGTTTCATTGGTGCTGCTCATTAGCCTGCGGATGCCACATACATTCATAGTTGTCAGCGAATACTCAGGCTTTTTTAGGTAGGCAGGATGGAGGAAGAAACGTCGTGGCAGAGTCGGTTAGGTGTCTTGAGAGAATATGCAGACATCAAAAGCGACTTCTTAACATGCATGGCATTTTCCACTCTACCTAATGACAACCAAACGCCGCGCTGATCTTCTCTTTATTGCGTAAATCATGACTTATCCACTGCAGCTTTGAAAACCCCCCAAACCCTCTCCCCCTCATTCTCATCCTTCAATCTCTGAACCAAGAAACCTTTCAGGTCACTCCAGAACTCTTCCGTCTTTAGTACTTCACCCCCTTGTCCCATTACCCCCTCCATAGGCTCTGTCTCTTCCACTCCCTTCTGAATAGCCGCGGCGCCTCCAATAACCATCACACTGAACTCCACTTTCCCCTTCCCCTCTTCCACCACATCTTTCAACACCTTACTATCTCCCACCGGTTTCTTCGAGTACAAGATCCGCAACGCTGAGACTGGGATACTGGTTTCCGAGGAAAGCTGTTCTTTTAAAGAGAAGATCGAGGTACTGAGCGGTTGCGAGAATAGCGTTACGTTGAGAGGTGGATTGCGCAGTGACTTCAGGGAGACGGTAATCGAGGCTTCGGCGCCTGGTGCGAGCTTCGTTTTCTTGGCTAGGGGCGGGCCTGTGGATTTGGGGAGGATGAACTGGTTTATATCAGCTTGAAATTGTCAAGTTAAGAGTGAAGAAAGAGGGTGTCGAAGTTGAGGAATGGAGGGGAATACATACCGCGCTCCTAGCAGGATAGGTCCTGGCATCCTCAATATGATCGGGACCCAACTTATTCGGCCGCCCATCCAGGCTCGTCAAGAATGATTTCGCGAACGACAATTCTGTCATATTATCTGCTGTGGGTTGTCTTTTCAAAAGCTGATCCAAGATATGACATGGTAAACGGGACTTGACCTTAACTCGAGATGGAGGAGTAAATGCGGGCGCTAGCGGCACCCGTAAATCTTATCAGTAAATTTTCCATTAAAAAAAGTTTCCCCAATCTATATCCAACCCACCAAACCACCAATTCCTCCACAACACAAAGTCCTTAACAAGGCAATCAAACGAAATGGGAGTCGGACGCCGCATGAAGAAGCAGGGCATTCCCGAGCCGCTCGATGAAGCGCATTTCACGAACCTGAAGCGCAAAGCGGGCATGTCTGTTACTGAAAGTAGGGAAGAAGCAAAGGGCTACGCAAAGAAAAGGAAGACGAACGGATCTTCCGAGCCTAGAAGCAGACAAGAGAAGAGGGATAGGAAAGAAAAGAAGACCAGTGAGGGGAAAAAGAAGCCGTTCACCAATGCTCTACCTCCTACACCCATGAAGAAAAGCAGCAAAAAGGCCGAAGCAATTCCGTTGCCAATGTCCGATGAGGAAATGGACGATGATTCCGATGCCGCGGACCTTATGGATGATGAATTTGATGGCATATCCAGCACTGAAGGGGACGCTGGATTAAAGGATGATTTTCTAGAATCGGGAAGTGAAGTGTATGATTCTGGAGAAGATCATCCACAAGCTATGTTCTCGGAAGATGAAGACGAGTCGGATGCGGAGGAGAAACTCACAGCTGCCAATATCGCCGGTCTTACTAGAAAACTCGATGACCAGATGGCTGCCGAGGCGGAAGATGCACAAGCTGAGTTGGAAGAGGCGGCGTTGCAGACAAATATTGCTGGGGATCGACCGCATGTACTAGATGACGATAGTGATGATGAAGGAGGGGCCAAGAAGAATTCTCTGCTCGCACCGGATTTACAGTTATTAAGGTCGAGGATCAATGATACGGTGCGCGTGCTGGATGATTTTTCGAATCTGGCGGAAGAGGGAAGGTCGAGAGCAGAGTATACAGCACAATTGTTGAAAGATATTTGTGCGTACTATGGGTACTCAGAATATCTGGCTGAGAAGCTATATAATCTCTTCTCGCCAAAGGAGGCTTTTGCTTTCTTCGAAGCCAACGAAACTGCCAGACCAGTCGTCCTCCGAACGAATACCCTCCGGACACACAGAAGAGATCTAGCAACGGCTCTCATCAACCGCGGCGTTACTCTGGAGCCTGTTGGAAAATGGTCCAAAATTGGTCTCCAAGTCTTCGAAAGCGCCGTCCCACTCGGAGCTACACCCGAATATCTAGCCGGCCACTACATCCTACAGGCAGCATCATCCTTCCTCCCCGTCATGGCCCTCGCACCCCAAGAAAACGAACGAGTCCTCGACATGGCATCCGCGCCTGGTGGAAAAACCACGCACATCGCCGCTCTAATGAAGAACACTGGCTGCATCTTCGCAAACGATAGCAACAAATCCCGTGCCAAGGGTCTAATCGGTAACGTGCACCGACTCGGAGCCAAGAATGTCATTGTATGCAACTACGATGCACGTGAATTCCCCAAAGTCATTGGTGGATTTGATAGAGTGCTCCTCGATGCTCCCTGCTCAGGAACAGGCGTCATCGCCAAAGACCCCAGCGTCAAAACCAACAAGACGGAGAAAGATTTCCTCATGCTTCCCCATTTGCAAAAACAGCTTCTCCTCGCAGCAATCGACTCAGTTGATCACGCTAGCAAAACAGGGGGCTATATCGTTTACTCTACGTGTTCCGTTACAGTTGAGGAGAACGAACAGGTTGTGCAATACGCGCTTAGCAAACGCCCGAATGTCAAGCTCGTTGAGACCGGGCTGGTGTTTGGTAAAGAGGGCTTCACGTCGTATATGGGCAAACAATTCGCCCAATCTCTCAAAATGACCCGCCGCTACTATCCCCACGCCTACAACGTCGACGGATTCTTCGTCGCCAAATTCAAGAAAACAGGCCCATCGCCTGCTAGTTCTTCCGCAAGCAACCACGGCGTCAAGAACGACGATATCGATGAGGTGGATATTGATAGACGTCCGGTGCCGGAAACAGAGGAAGAGGAGAAAGAAGATGTGTTCGGGGGCTTTGATGAGGAGGAGGATAAGAAGTATATGGAGAGGGCGAAGAGGAATTTGCTGAGGAAGAAGGGACAGGATCCAAATGCGCATAGGGGGGACTTGAGTAAAAAGAGCGCGGATGCAGATGGCAAGGAGAAAAAGGAGAAGAAGAGTAAGAAAGCTGTGAATGGGGAAGAGAAAAAGGAGAAGACCAAGAAGCGTGTTAATGGGGAAGAGAAAAAGGAGAAGAGTACGAAGGCTGTGGACGTTGCAGAGAAAAGGGAAAAGAGCAAGAAGCCCGTGAATGGGGAAGAAAGAAAGGAGAAGAAAAGTAAGAAGGATAAGTGAGCAATACCTATAGCAATGTTATGCTTTGTACAGTCAGCCTACTCTGTCTATCTAACTGGTCAAGAGCAAATCTCTTTTCCCTTTCGTGATGTTATTGCTTTGGTACTCTATTCCTTCATATTCAATTGTGCGCTATGAAAATCCAAACCAATCGTTCGCTTTGCAAGGATTCAATTTCGAAAGTTTGTTTCAATCATGGTGCCTCTGAAATCTAAGCAAGCTCGAGTGAATTCCTGTTGTTTAAAGCAGGGTCACCAGCCAAGTGCAATGGCTACCTACCTATCCATTGAGAGAACATTCTCAAGTTCAGTTCAGTGTTTCTAATAGAGTTGAAATTAATAAAGAGAGAAGCAATAAGCAAAGTAAAGGTTAGAGCGAAACAGCTTCTGCGCAGCTCTTGGGATAATAGCCCCGTGTAGATGAATGCACAAGCTAGTATGTATCTGCCTCTCTATACCGTGCACTTCTTCACTTCTTCCGCATACACGTACGTATGCATATATTACTAAAGCTTAAAAATTGAATGCTTATCTGCTATTTCAACTCTCTCGGAACTTTTCTCTCCAACTCCATCTCCATCTCCTCTGCACACTCGACCTCAAAACCCAAACTCCACATCATCCACATCCACATCCACAACTCAACACCACCACCACCACCACATCAAAAATGGCCGACTCATCAGAAACCACCCTCCTCATCGCAGTCCTCAGCCAAATCGGCGGCGAGGTCAAGCTAGACTTCAACAAGCTGGCCGCCGCTACCGGCTCCCCCACCGCAAACGCTGCACGCGTCAAATGGCAGCGCTACCGCAAGAAGCTGGAGGCCAAGGGAGGCATGGGCGGTCCGACGAAGCCGACTGGCAATAGTCCGTCCAAGCCGACCGGCGTCAACAAGGCCGCGGCCAAGCCCAAGACAAACAATGGCAATGCTCGTACTCCGACGAAGAAGGGTGCCAAGCAGGTCAAGGCTGAAGCTACTGATGAGGAGATGGGTACTGAGGAAGATGTATGTATCCCTGACAGCTCTCTCTCACTCTACTTACACTTCCATGTCCCCGCTTTTACCTTTAATCCTTAACTTCCCTAATCTCAAACAAGCAAACAAACAAACCTCCTAACATAAAACAGGACAACATCCCCATGACACCCCCATCCCGCCAGCTCCCCGCGCGCAAGGCACGTACCCCGGTCGGCCAATTCAAGGAAGAGAGTTCCGGGGGCGAAGGCGATGAGATCTACGAGCACCAAGAGCCGGAGCAGGAGGAGCAGGACTTGAAGATCCAGATTGCGCGTGAGATGGAAGATGGAGGACAGATGGACGTCGAGGGTGAGGGTGCTGAGTTATGGGAGTAGATGACAGTGCATCGCATTACAGATTCAGGCATCCACCCTTCTTTATTCATTCACATGCATGGCATGGCATGGAATAGTGGTTCTGCTGGTTTGGCTCTGATGCTTGGGTTTCCAAAACAGGATATGCACGCGAATCTGAGAAAGGGATGGTAACTCCACACAAGTAGATAAGAATAAAACAAAAAGAAAATATCTTCTCTTCACTTCACTTCATTTCGCTTCCATTCCAAAGATAAGCCCATCCCAACCCAAACATCCCACGCACGTTCATTCTGATACATCATATCATACTACATTGCTTTTTCCTTCCTTCCTTCCTTCCTTCCCATCCATACCCCGTAGCTCTGTGCGGATACCTGTATACCCTGCTACCCAGCCCCCACGATTTCATTCACAACACTTCAATTCATTTCACCCACTTTCCCAGCAAGAACAGTGGACGGGCATACTCCGTAGATCGACAAATCACGTCACGGTACTTGGATCCAGTGATGTATCTATCTATCTCACGTGCTCGTGTTCAGGCCCCGGCTCGCTACCCCTGAAATCCCTTGGCAAGGCAACGCAAAAGCTAAGCAAGACTAAATTGAAGTGTGCGGAGTACATATATGTGACTTTACGTTTTCTGGTTGATAAGCACTCGTGCGTATAAATCATTCCGTCGTATTTCGCCTCTGTTATAAACACCACCAGCACGAACGAATATATAATCTGCTGTATAAAACGTGCGTCGGTCACGGAGAAATGTAGGGAGAACCGCGGTGCTGCATGTTTCAAACGCAGTAGGGGGGTATAAGCTACCGCTGAAGGGAATGTCAATGGTATCAGGGTATCAGGAAAACCCTTTCAGGCGGATGTAGAAGGCGTGAGAAGATGCAAGCTGATTCACAATATCGCTGTAGGTTCGACTTGCTGGAGACCCATTTTATACTTTTTCCCCATGTCTTTCAACGCTCTGTTCGAATCATATACGCGTGTTCATAAACATCTCACACTCCATAATGACGTTATAAAGTGCAATATCTGAGATGGCCAGGTCGATGTGGTTAAGTCTGTAGCAGGAAACGATTGGCTATGCCAAAAATGCCTCATCTCCTAACCATGCTCCTGATGCTTGCTTACCGAGGCTCAGTACTCGGTTCTCGCAAGAACATCTTCCACTTAAAGTTCTTAGTCGGCCCTTGCATAATCAAAATCCAGTTTGGAGTTCAGGACGATTCGGTGGGTCAGAAGTTCAAAGAACTAAAATCTCCCTGGATTTGGCTGATTAGGGGAATAAAATTCTTGAAAAATCTACTTACATCCAGGAGCAACGTCTCTAGTGCACCAATTATGATTCCAAGGCAATTAAGAGCGCTGCGGCTAATTTCTGCAGATTCTATAGTGAAGTTCAACTACTGGAGAACTTGCCAGAATCACTCAAGGTGCCAGACGCTTCATTTTCTAGCGGCATAGTTAGAAAGTCCGCTTACGTTGCAAGACATACATAACACGAGCAGAAGGACTAAAAGCATGAAAGATCATGTGCAAGATATACAGGATGGCCACTCAAACCCGTCGCTTTAGGTGCTCCAAGGAACTAAGGAACTGTGAGAACTGCTCGCATCCTGCACCACTCTCTAAGCTCTCCAGCAATCAGACGAAGAGTTGTGTGTGAAGCGTGATGTACCTATATACGACACTGACTGTTCTTGATATACGTCCTCTTCAACTAAAGTTGTTATGTTCCTTACTTGACGCCTCAATTCACCTAAGCCTATTTGAGCAACCCCTATTTGACAGCTCCAGTTTAACATGTGACCTCCCCCCCCTTTATTTTGTGTCTTCTTGGTTTCCCGGCTAATGCTCTTTTTGACATATAGTGGTTTACCAGTCAGTATTTTCGTTGTACAAAATACTCTAATCCTGCAACGGTAGATGTAAGGAGGTGACATCTACTGAATCCCAAATTGCTAAAAACAAACGCGAGAATTTTATGATACCCCACTTTCAATGCTGGAGTGCTAGCTGAACATGTCCGAGGCATCAGAATCATCATCACTCCCGCTGCTATCATCACTCTCCAAACCTTTCCATGAGCCACCTGGCATCATACCCAGGGATGTAATGCTCTTTGACAAGCTTGTCGATTTTTCGTAATTCGGGGGTTTCGAGTATTTTGGCCGAAGATTCGCTGCTGATCATTTCGGAATCCTTAAGTGTAATAGGGGCATCACTCTTTGCAGGTATCTTACCCTTCTTCTTATCTGAGAGTATTCCATCACTTGGGCTTTGGTCGTCGCTTGGTATCTTGATCGCTTTCCTCTTCGATGTATATGCCGACTTGAATTTCCATTTCTTCTCAGCCTCGGAAGGAATAAAATATTCTACGGAATCATAATCCAAATTCCTCTCATACGACTCTCGACGCCACTGCTGTCCAAAACCATCTGAATGGTATTCAACAGCAGCGCTGCTCTCTTTCCGTGGTGGCAGAGTCCTGGTCTCCTTGCGTCGTGGAGGACTTGAGCTCGCTGAGCTAGCATTTGAAGACCCGATAATTATATGAGGGGGGCTTGAAGGAATTCCTACTACTGGATGAGTATCACTGTGAACGATAATAGATGGAAGTTTAAGTTCAGTTTGTAATTGAGCTTCGACTTCGAGGGCCGGCCGAATTTTGCCTCCGACGTAGATGCGTGTTGCGGACTGTGCGAAGAAAATTCTGACGCAATCGCCTTTGAAAAAGCCCCCGTAAGGGATTCCAAGATACAAATATCAACGTTGTCGAAATCTGGCAAATCTTGTGTAGCCACCGCCATCTTGGAACCGGGGATTGGGACGGAAATCCTGATAATTAGGCATGCAAACTAAGTAAGCTCACAGCAGGTACGAAGGGAAAAATAACGTAGTAATTGGACTCAGAGGGGAACGAGAAGTAAACGCGACTACAATATGCATTTATATGGCATCTAAAGGAAGACAAAGAGGAAGTCACGTGGATATGAGGTAAACAAAGAAACTACACTTCATCTTCCCGCTTTCATCGAGGATAACCAAAACCTAGACTCGAGATAGTTGAATAGTTTCATGTGATGAATATGGCCACAGAATCCTGTGTACAATAGATTGATGCACACTCTCCACCTGGGACATGGCGGCATGCTTTGCAGAATCCGGTTTCGGCAATGCAATGCACCATACTTATGGTGGAGATCCTAAGTAATTCTAAAGACGAATAAATCTTCAAATATATGAAAACATAATAGAAATCGACTAATAAATATATATGCAAACAAAAACAAAAAATGGTCGCCTAATCCAAACCTTACTATACAACTCTGAAGCTCCGAACCCTTCATTGTCGGACACCTCTTCTGCCATCATAACTTTCTCACCATCATGGCAAAGTGCACATATACATCTCCTGAATGCGAGCCACCGCCTCCTTATACCCAGTATCCGGATTAACTCTCAGTGCCTTATCAAACCCCCCACCCGTCAACCTGCCCGTGCGTCTCGTCTCCATACACCTCTGCCAGACAAACCATTTATCCATCTCTCGCTCCGCATCATGGACCTTATCCCGATGCATTTCCGCGCGTGCGGCAAAGTGCGCCTTACCTTCGGCCGGGAAGCCGAGTACGTCTAGGATGCTGACTTGGCTAGCGTAGTCCTCAACAAGACTGAGTGTACCACCATCGCTGCCCTGCGACGTAAAGTCGACTTCATCGCGGATTTGGTATTTGAGCTGCGCGAGGAGGTAGGAGTATTTGACTAGGTGGACGACGAAAGTGACCCACCATTTTATGGCGGCGGGGTCGGTTAATCCCTGGTGGTGCCTGAATTCTATGGTCGTAGGCTTGTTGTCTCTTTCTGGGGAGATGTTCACTGTTACGTACGAGCCATCGTGTGTCCCGGTTGTGACTTTTCGCAGATCGTTAGCATCCTTTGCTTGATATATGAACTGGGTGAACTGCTGCGGTGTAAAAGTGAGAAGTTCATCCGGTCGTGCTGTCGGCTCAAAATCTTGCAGCCGTTGCTTTTCCATACCAAGTCTGATTCGCAAAGTAAACATTGCATCCCTCCGGTTCACAGGTAGCCATTTCTCGATTTCGTCTTCGAATAGCCCGTATAGAGCAGTCACGTTCTGCATGCATGCAAAGCCTACAGGGCTTTCTAAGTCGACGTCAGATCCGCCGTTGATTGCCACATGTACGTGCAAGCCGCTTTTTGCATTCTTCGGAAAGAATGCTCGCTCATCGGGAGAGGATAGATCTTTGTGGATTTGCTGCAGCCTTGTGAGAAGAATCGAGTTAGTATAGCTGCTTTCAAGGTAGACGAGGGATTTCAACAAGAGAGAAATGCAGGAGGTGTCCCAACTTCCCACAAATATTTCAATAGAAAACTTATATTCAAGAGACGAGATACTTACTTTGGCATCCAATTATCTTTGTACCGCAAAACAGCAGATACCAATTCCACTCCAGAAACCCGCCACATTTTCTTCACCTGCCTCTCTAACCGGTCCCCTCGGCGTAGCTGAGCCCTTTCAGATCTTTCCGGGACCGTAACCCCCGCCGCTTCTGCGGCTTCGAGATCCTGGTAAAGCGCAAAGGCACGCCTTCTAGGCTCAACACTACCATCTTGTGTAACGCTCCACGTCTCCGGACTAGCCTCCTTATCTAGCGCAGCCCATTCAACAGGGGCTATGAGCGAAGAAGTCTTGGGTGAGTGAGGGAGCGCGTGGTTGAGGAGATCGGTAACGTATTGGTTTATGGACTGGTAGTGTTCTTCAGATAATCGTGTGCTGATGGTCTTCTCGCTTGAGCCGCCCGAGCCAGAATCACTGGAGTCTTTCTTCTGTTTTCTCTTTTCTTTCCTTAGTGTCTTTTCGGATTTGATATCGTCTGGAATGATTCTGGAGTTGGAGGGTATGCTTTCAATCCTAAAACCTTCATCATAATCGTGATCCTCCAGAACGTCGTAGCCGTAACCACCAAAGGCTTCATCGGAAGCGTCTTGATTGTCGGTATATACGATTTCATTCATAAGAGGATCATCCTGGGGATCATCTACCATGTCATCTCCTTGGTAATATTTAGGGGGGGAATAAAACCGACTTTCTGGGTTCTCGTCAGTCTCGTTTTCATTTCCAGCTGAGCCAGTATTATCTTCGTTGTCTGGGTGTGAGCTAGAGCCTGGATTACTCATAGGGTCTTGGTAATCAGCGTATACAATTCCATCCATATAATTAGTAACGTCTTCATCTCCTTGGTGTTCTTGCGGTGGGTCGAAAGAGCCTTCTTCTAATGATGTCTCCGAAACCACCACAATACTATCACCATTAACAAACCCCACATCAGCCCCCCTATGCTCATCATCTCCCTCGGCCCCAGACAATCCAGATCCAGATCTAGACGACGATGTGGCACTTTCACTCTGCCCACTATACGGATCAAAAGCGTGATGAAGGGACTTTAGAACCACAAAGTCGAACTCATATTCGATACCGAAAGTAATATCTGGACTGGGATATCTTACCAATGGATCACCCGTTGTGCCGGAAGCCATTTGTGTATCATGTATGTATATATCAGATTTCCTTCTACTGAAAACTGGACGCGGAACCGATAGATGCGGAAAAACTTTTATTGACAAGTTGAAACCCAGACTCGAGTTCGAGTTCGAGTTCGGGGGAAGGAAACGGACAAATACATGATATGCATGCATCCGGGAGCACTGGGTCATTCCTCTCTTGCAGCAATTGGACTTCTTTGACATGATTCTACCAACAAGCTTAAGCACCATCATAGACAGACAAAGGCAGCGAAAAAAGTACAGTGTGTGAAGAGCAGAGATGTCGAGGCTGACTAGATCAACCTTGTAGGTCAAGGCTATGCATTCCTGTTTATCAAGTAATCCAATCAATCCCAGACCGAAATCTATGCTTCAAAACTCTCTTCAAAAAAACGTCGTTGGGGAAGAAGAAATGAAAAAGTAGAAATGCAACTTGCAAACAAGTGACAGGTAGTCTACACGAGCACCAGGTAATCCAAGTCCAGAATACCCACTGCAGTCAAAACAAAGTAAAAAAGGAAGCGTGACTTACGCCTGCATGGAAAATCTAGTGTATTAGTTTTATGTTCGTTAATACCTACCTGCTCAGCTATGATATGCCACAATTTATCATCATCCTTCAGGAGTATCAGCCCCAAACGCCCAAAGACCTCATAATCCCCCAACGCCTATCCATCAATCCCACACAATCAAATCTTCCTCCCATCAAGTCTCCTTCCCACATCCGGTTTTTTTTCCACCTTGATAACATCCTCCTTTTCCTTTTCCTTCCCCTTCTCGCTCTCTCCTTTCCGCTTGACGCCACCTCTAAGAGTTTGCCCCTGCCCCGCAAAATGCGGCTGCGCTGCATCCGCGTTCTCTTTCTCCTTATCAGCCGCCGTTTTCAGCGGTTTAATCTCATACCCAAAGAAGAGCTTATTAGGCGCTAAGCGCAGGGGCTGGGGTCCATTCGTTCTCCTCACCACAGTACTTGCACTCTCTGGAGCTTTATTCGTACTGGCGCCCGCCACAGGAGTCGAAGCTTTCGGCGTAGATGCTTTCTTGGAATTCAGTTTCTGGCCTCCGAGCAAGAAGTTCGAGGTCGATGCTCTAGCGCCTGTGGCAGCCGTGGCAGCCGACGGCGCGATATCTGAGTAATTGATAGCCTGTGCCATCGTGCCTTGACTATGCAACATACCACCCGCCGGTAGCCCAGGTCCATTCCGCGGCGTGCTCGTCCCGCTTCCCCGCGTAGGCTCCACGTACCCCACGGGCGCGGCGAAATCAACCTCGACGTCCGTCTCCAGCATGCTGACACCCATTTTGTCGCTCGTGGGTTTTACTTCTAGCACGGCGACATCGTAGACCGTGTCGTTGTAGGAGAACGAGAAGATGTCGCCTTTGGTGACAGTGGCGAAGTCCCGAAATGCCTTTTCGAGCACTGCTTTCGGGTCCGAGATGTCGAGGAAGGCCGTGTTTTGCGGTTGGAGCTTGACGAGGGAGGCGGAGGGGAGGTCGGTGGATTTTATTTGGATTAGGTCGCCTGTGTCTAGATCTAGGGTTTTCATCATCTATGCAAAGTATCAGTGTCACATTCATTCTTCTAAGAGAATGGGGGGAACTACCCAGTGCGGTAAATACACCTTTCCTTCCTCAGCCACAAACTCCAACACACCAGCATGAGAGACCTTGTCCGCTGCCCCGTTGATCAGCTCAAACAGCATCGGATACGTGATATGCAGCCGTGTGAGCTTCTCAAGAGCTGACGGCGGCATGATGATCTTTCCGCCGAAGTTGAGGTGCTCCCGCTCTGGACCGGGCAGCATGACGGTTGGGTAGCAGCGATAGTATTCATCGAAACGCTTCATAGCTCCTGGTCGTCCGCCACGGGCTTGAAGTAGGTTGTACATGGCCATCGGGTCGTCGTCTTCGTAGTATCCGCTTGGGTGATACTGGTTGTGTTAGTAAGAGATGTGGATGGGAGTAGCTGGGAGGTGGGAACGAGTACCATTTTGTTTTGAAGGTAAGTCGTACTTTCTCTGTTCAAGAAGATTTGTGTATTAACTTTGAGAGTTTGTGACGAGGTGGAAGCTTCACAATCATTCAGTAGAAATGACGAAACGCTGTGCCTGGCGCTAGACAGCTTTATCTATCTTAACTCCGAAGTACAGTACAGTACCGCTTCACCTTATTCATTTCTCTGCATCCCCAACTACTTAGTATAACACTTAATTCCCTATCTCTAATTCATCCCCCCACGTTATTGCTACAAACTCCCAGTCAATAATCATGAGCTCCCGCTTCTCCGCAGCGCGTCCCAATCGCGCCGGCGAAGCCTTCGCACGTACTCACCACGCCGAAACGTCAGACGACCCCTCCTCATCCTCCAAGGGTCCCAAATTCGACATCCGCAACCCCTCAGCCCTCGCCCCTGATGCCCCCGAAGAAGATGCCGTGCTAGAAGCCGATGTAATTGGCGGTGGCGGCGCCGGGACTAAAAGAGGAGCGGTCAATTTGGATGGATATGACAGTGATTCCGACAACGAGGGCTTCGATGCGCGGGCCGAGAAACGCTCAAAGGGAGACGTAAATCTCGCGGATGCATTGGATGGGTATGGGCCAGATGGAGCTGGCAGGAATGGTGGGGGTAGAAGTGGAGGGAAGAAGAATGAAATGGAGGAAGATGCAGATATGTTTGCAGACCTAGAAGAAGAGGATGGAGATGAAGATGAAGACATGCCTGGGACGGGGAAGAAGGACAAGAGTGTGAGATTTCTAGGCGAGGACGAAATAGAAGGCCAAGTCCAGTCCTCTAAATCTGGAGGTCACATATCCTCCAACTTCGCGCTAGACCCCAAGGGCAAACTCTCCACGCACGCCATGGACGATGCCGAGTCTTCAGACGACGAAGAGGAAGCTGCGTTGGCGGCACAGGAAGAAGATATCGACGATGAAATCGGCGCCGGTGGATTGAAAAGGAACGCACCCAAGGTCGACGCTTTTAACATGAAAGCGGAGCAGGAAGAGGGGCGGTTCGATGATGCGGGTAATTTTGTACGCAAGGCTGCGGATCCGGATTCGAGGCATGATTTATGGCTTGAGGGCGTTAGTAAGAAGGATATGAAGAAGGCGGCGGAAGCGCATGAGAAACGCGAAGAGGAGAGGAGGCAGAAGAGGCTGGAAGATGATGCCTTGCTCTTATCCGATATCCTCCGAACCCTTATTCTCCAGCTCGAGAAAGGAGAGACAGTTCTCGAGGCCCTGGCCAGGTTGGCGAAAGGCCAGAAGAAAGAGAAGAAAATACCGAAGTGGAAGCTGAAGAAGCAGGCTAAGAGAGAGGATGCTATGGATATGGACGATACGGCTACTACCCCCAACCAACCGGAAGATAAAGAACAAACGCGCATCAAGGAGGCCGTGGATAAGATCACAGGTGCGGCGGACCAGTTGCTCACGAGAGGGCAAACGGATATCTACGAGCAGGAACGCGAAATGCTAGTGCGGCAGTACGCACGTGAGGCTGGGGAGCCATGGGTTGAGCCGGCCGTGGAGAAGGTCCATGATGATGGGGAGGTTAAGTATTGGGAGTACAGGTGGACAGATGGACGGGATGGGGATGCGAAGCAGGGCCCGTATGATGGCCCTACTATGGTTGCGTGGCAGGACGCTGGGTATTTTGGGGAGGGGGTTGAGTTTAAGAGGATTGGTGAAGAGGGTGCGTGGAGTAGGGTTGTGGATTTTGTATGAATAGGCAGGCTTGGAAAGTGTATGATTGGAAACAAGGGAAGGCAGGCAATGGAAGGCAAAAACATAATGATACCCAAAAGCAGTACTCTACAGTAACAATACACATGAATTCAAAAGTCACAGTATAGTAAGTAGTCCTCAGGCCAAATCATGCTGTATTAGAGCCAAAATCTAACGCCGATCTTTTCCCTGGTAATACATAAAGTACAACCAACATATATCTTTTTATTCCCTCTCCCAAAATGATATCACCCAACGCCTCCCTCCCATTGACAAAGCTAATTCAAGAAATATCCATAGCATCACCATGTCCATTCGTAACATTCAGACTCACTCCGCCCTGATCGCCAATCAGCCTCTTCTCAAACTCCGATACAAACTTCACGCTCCTCCCACTATCATAGAACAGGCTAAAACTCCTCTGTACATCCTCAACACCAACCTGCTTCGCCTTCCTCTTCGCACAAATCAGCTGACTGGTGGTAATCAAGTTGCTTCCATAGCGGAGTCCTGTTTCCTGGCCAATTTTCGTGAGGAGGGCCAAGGCATCGGGTGTGAGATCTACTTCTTCTTCTGCGGCGCGGATGGCGAGGATTTGCTGGATTTCTTCTTTTTGGTACGAGTGTGTGGACACAATGACTAATCTGTCGAGGAAATCTAATGGAAGCCCATGAGGAGATTTATAATTCGTTCCGCGCAGACGGGAATTGCCTCTGTTGGATGCCATGATGACGATGGGCGCCAGCTCGTCCTCGAGAGCCCGGTTGATGTACGAGAAGCATTCGATATCGAGCATGTGTACCTCATCGATGAAGAGCACGCCAGGTACGATTTCGGCCTTGCCTTCCTCTTTCCATTCAGCTACTTTAGTGTTGATCTGGTCGCGGACTTCGCTGCGGATCTCGCCCGTGTCGCCGGAGAAGAGAGCGAGGAAGCCTTGTGTTCGGGAGTTGATTACATCAATTTCGTGTAGGGATACGGTGTGTGTTACTTCTTTTCGCTTTTGGAGGTCGCCGTCTGGACATTGTAGGAATTTGGTGTCTACCCCCATGGCATCGTAGTCTCTGGACTTTGCGTATGAGCGTCCAAGTTTTGAGATCTTGCCCGAGGATTTGTCGATGGAGATGATGTCGCCTGCCATTACGCGCTCTTTGGTCATAGAGTCGATCATTTTGCTACCCATGTCGTAGACTGATTCCATGTCCGTAGTCTTAATTGTGAGCTTGCCTTGCTTTGTGCCCCCTGTTACGCTTCTGTCGGTTTGGATCTCGACCACCTCGCCCTCTATCATCTCACTCTCCTCCTTGATCCGTACGCCGATGGATTTTCGGAAGGCTTGCTCGAGAGCTTCGGTCTTTGACATCTCCAGCGAGAAGATCTCGGAGGAGGCAAGCATCGTAAAAGGTACATCGGTCCCTAATGATTGTGCCATACCCATTGCAATCGCGGTCTTCCCCGTACTGAGTAGCCGTCAGCGCCAGCCATGCGTACAGCCCAATCTTAACCTACCTTGGTGGACCGGCAATCAATACAGCTCTGCCTGCAATCTTCCCCTCCTTGACCATCTGCAAGATCACGGCAGCAGCTTTACGAGCCTTTTCTTGCCCCACCAGTCCTTGTGATGAAGCTCGCGGCTCTAGGGTATCTGGGTCGACTCCAAGACCGCGAATATGGGAATGTGCCGCGATCAGGTTCAGGCCCCGGAGCTCCTTGCTCTCGGAGACTGTTTGAATTGCCTGGTCATATTAGAAGGGTAGTTTGGTGGTTTAAGGAAGGTATGTATACTCACAGCAGCCATGTTGGGGGAGATGTAGTTGAATGACAAGAGGTTGTTCGGGCTCCTGTCGCGCCAACAATATTCTCGTTCCCTATTTCAACGGGTGCTGTGTAGCAAGGGTGTAATTAGAGAATCTGGGATGTGCAGTTAGAGCGCAATGCATACTAGTCCCTGCATTTCTGGTTATGTTACACGACACGACAGCGGTGAAACACAAGGTGGCATGGTGCCAGTTTATCAACATTGAATCTTGATTTATCACATCATCTCGTGCTAAATGATGCACGCATACCTTGACTGCAACCGTTTCTCAAAAACGCGTTAAATTTTAGCGCTCTGAAAGAGCTAAAGGGATTGACAACACTTGCGCTTCCAGTCTCATCCGTTCTTCTCTTTGTCCAGGTCTCTACTTCAACAATTACATTGCACTGCCTTACATTGTTCCCCGAGAGACAATAGGAGACTTCTATATGTCATGCAGCAACCTGCTTGAACATTTTCTTGTGTTTGATCGTTGATCGTCCACCAATCCAGCCAACCGGTCCAGTCCAGTCCAGTTTACCCCTACTGCATCCGAAGAGACAAAACCAGATAGGATATGAGGCCCGTTCTCGCCATTGCTTTGTTTTCGGTTTCATCTTGCAGCTGCCCCCTGACTCCCGATGATGCGAATGCTTCTATGCGTCTGCAGAGTTCAACCTCATCTGAAGCTTTTGGTGGATAGGTAGAAAAGGGGACATACTAAGATAACAGTAAGAATATTGCTTGTTCCAGTCCTCTTACTTCACTTTGTCTTTCTACGTCTATTCACGTTTGCAGTGCCTTCTACGTCTGCACATAATAGCCTTTGTACACATTAGCTAGACTCTTTGAGTTTCCAGCTAAAAGCAATATTGCTGCATTCCTCCGCGTCACTCTCTCCTTCAAACACAAATCCACCATGGTATCTGCCATAAATACGCGAGCTAACGCTCTCTATTTAGGTTCCACTCATGCCATCTCCAGGACCTGTCTTCACCATTAAAGGTCTGGCAGCTGAGCGACAACGCCCCCTTCCGCTTCTTCCTCCACTCCCTCCACTTCCACCTCCCCCTCACGATATGAGAAGCCCTGGCTACGGGGGGAGATCCAGGTCACCGCCACGCCGGCGTTCGCCACCACAAGGCACCCGAATCAGCGACAGATATACATCTGACCCCGTCCATCCTCGCGAGGCCCGCCGTAACAGTCGCGATAGAGATCGAGACAGGGACAGGGATAGAGACAGAGACAGATATAGAGAATGGGATAGAGACAGAAGACGAGGGCGTTCACGGTCGCCACCAGGGTACAACACATCACGGCCTCCACATCGCGAAGAGGACCGCCAGTCCAGCTACGGCCGCGTTGCTCAATCGTCCCCTAGGCCGCAGCATCTTTCCACCAATGGTGAGTCATATCCATGATTTTACACGTCTTGAAATACAATACACAACTCTTTTCTTGTACCTTTAAAGACTAAAAACTATTTCCACTAACAAAATCATTGCAACCCGTTTGTTAACAATCATTAGGATCCAGTACAGCATCAAGCGATCATCCACTACCTGATCAACCACAAGCCCCAAGAGTGAATTCGCCAGTCCAATCAGTACCAGCGCCGGCGCCGGCAAAGACTTCAATGGCACCGGCTACTGCATCAGTGACGTCTCCTGCAATGACTGCTCCACGTATTAACCCTAAATCTCATTCTCCAGCTGTCACTCCCGTCGCTGCACCGGATGAGGTGCATAGGGCTGTCATGGCCACTTTCGGAGAAATCTTCAAACAATTTGGAGAGCAGGCGATAGATGCTGCTCTCTTTAAACAGAAGAAGATAGCTGCCGAAAAAGAGAAGGAGAAGTGCCTAAGTCACTACTTGAAAAGCAAGGAGAACCACGCGAAGTTTCCGGCGCTCGAAGAATCGCAGAGAAGGGCAAGAGAATACACTGAGAAGCAATTTAAGCTCTTGAGTGATCAGGTGAAGACACAGAATGACTCTCTTGCATCTATAGCCATGTCGGCCGCATCAAAGATCCCAGCTATACTAGCACAGACTTCTGGAGTCACATATGATGATAGCAAGCTTAGGAACCGTTGCGAAGATTTGCAAAAGCGGTGCGATGACTTCAATAAGCAGCTCCAGACCCAGAAGAAGCTCTTTGAGGATGAGAAGAAGTCTCGAGAGCTGCTTGAAAAGAAGGTCGCAGAGATTGAGTCGATAAGCAAGACTACAAAGCAGACACTAGTAGAAGCGCATGCACGTCAATCCAAATTCGAAACCGATACACGTTCTGAAAGCGCAAGAAGAGCTACAGTTATTCAAGACGTTAACGACAGTGTCGCCCAATTGTCTCGAGAGTCGGTCGATCTGAAGCAAAAGCTACAGGACGAACTCTCAAGCCTGTCAGATGTCAAGGGTGAGCTGGACAAAGTTAGGAAAGAAAGCGCAGAAAGTCTGGCTGCTTCAGCGAATCGGATTACGCCTTTAGCCGACGGTATAGGAAAGATTGATACTGTGGACCGTAAAGTCAATGGCGTGCAGAACAGCCTGGCTGATTGGACGGTATCCTCATTTAAGTACCGAGCACAACTAAAGAGTTGGAAGAAGGATATAGAGTCGGATATTGAAAATACCCGAGAACTTACAAGGTCCGTCAACAATACTTTAGAGCAGGAGTTAGCTGCTCTCAAGCAGGATGTAACTCGCTTGGCTCCCAAATCTACTACACCATCTGCAGACATCTCTACGAATCCGAATCTATTACAATCGATCCAAGTTATCAAAAGCGACGTTACGAACCTTCAAGACCAAATGAAGAACGTGGACTTAACTAGTCTAACAAAGAGGGTATCCGCTTGCGAGCAGAGTGCCAAGACATTCGTCAAACACTCGACACATAACGAGGCTCCAAATGAATTGGTCAAGGTGCACGAAAGTCTTGCTAGCCAAAAGAAGGAGTTGCAATCTTTAAGCAACAAAGTCAACATTCAACAAACAAACGCAAGCAACAACATAACACCAAGTACAACAAATTCGTCGAGGCTAGAGCAGCGCCTTTCGAAAATAGAGACTCAGCTGGCGTCGGGAACCCAGACTTCAAAAGCCTCCTCACCCTTGCCTTCGAATATAGTCGATACGTCCGGGAAGTTCACACAACAACTTCGAACACTTGAGAACAAGCTTGCGTTGCTGCCGAGTAAAGACTGGGTCCATAAAGAGGTGCAGGATGAGGTTAATACCCAGCAAGACGCAGCAGCTGAGATCTTCGTTACTCGTTTGGCCAAAGTCGAACTGCAGGCCAACAAGACCGAGCGAAAGGTTGGAAGTATTGAGACAAATCTCGCCGGTTTACATGGAACTTTGTCGCCTCTGCCGGACCAGGTCGAATACTTAAAGCGCCAAATACCCTCACTTGGTGCTAGCTCTAGCGCTGAACTTGGAGCCCTTGTCAACACTGCCGTTCAAGAGGCCACTGACGTAATCGATAAGAAGCATATGAAAGCCGTTAATGCTGTACAGCTCGGGGTTCAAAACGAACTTTGGAGACAGAACGGCGTCTATAGTCAGATTGATTCGATCGGGATAGCCTGCTCGAATTTGGATCAACGATTTAATAGCATCAACACTACTGATCTACATAAAGCTATAGTCGACCAAATAACCCAAGACCACTTCCCTGAAATTCAACGAATCTCGCCACTTGAAAACTCGATCAAAGCAACTGCTAGTCAAGTTTTAGAGCTTGAGAAGGCCGTCAAGAATATTGAGTCGCCGTTGACAGCAATTTCCAAATGTATCGAGTCGCAGTCAGCAGTAAATTCCGAGAATAGATTGCATGAAGTCGAAAATGCACAGACTGTCTTTAGGACCGCAATCAAAGGTATTGAGGATAAAGTTAAGAGCATCGAGACAACAGTGGCCAACTTCAAGCCCCACGGTCTTCACGGTCTTGAGATGGAAATGTTCCATAACGAGATTACCACCCTGAATAAGAAGATCGCCAAGCTAAAGACTGAGAACAACGACAAGATTTTGGAGCTCTCACATAAAGTTGAGAAAGTCGAGGTTGATATTCAGGACCTCTCGGCAGATCACTTGAAAAAGCAAACAGACGTGGCGAATAAATTCGCGGAATATGAAATAAACTTGCGGCGCGGCACAACCGCTGCTGTCACCAAAGCTCCCCCTTCCCACAACTCTAGGGACCGGAAGTCTGTACATACACTCAATGGGACTGCGCTTAAGAAGCGTAAAATCGATAACAATGGTTACTTATCACACTCTCCTGCCTCATCATCATTCTCGAAATCCAACGGAACTTCGCGTACCAGCCCCATCAGCAAGAAACGTCACCGACGCTGGCCAAGCCAAGACCTATATGGGAACGATGATGATGACGAGGTGGCTCAGCCGTCGCTTGTGGATGATGCTTCGGATGGGGATGATTGATTTATTAATTGATGGATGGGCACTTCTATCCAACTTGCTCACTCGTCCACTCACACATTTCCCCTTCCCACTCTTGTTTGCGTACCTTTCTTTTCCTTGAACCAAAAAGATACCCATTGCTTTTAATTGCTATTCAGGGCGGAGGGGCGGCAGGTTGGGCGCGTGCGTTACATTAATTTGCTTTACATTGCATCACACTACATTGCATCACACAAGGAACAAGGCGCCGGAGTTTGTTTATACGTGCGTCTCTTATGGATCTCGACCTGGACCTGGACGGCGTGAGTCTGCATTGCGATTCGACAAGTGGCGGGATAGGCTGGCAGTTTCCATTAGGGGTGAGCTGAGATGAAAGGAGATGATTTGCAAATATGGGAGTGAACGTGGAACGAAGTGTGCATTGATTGAACATAAAAAATGGATGGATGGATATATAAATTTAATGAACGAGCGAACGAATGCAATAATGATTCATACAACTGACATATCTATATCTGTTGCGCTGCGTTCGTGAATCCAGCTAGTTCACTAGTGATTCTAAGCTAAAATTCAGATATACATAGCAATCACTCTAGATTCCTGGTTAGACTATACAGAATCTTACTACTATATGTTACTCCAGCAGTATTAGCTCTAGCTCTCTTGCTCTTTACTGCAACTAAACTTGCTAGCATCACTTGATTTATCTCTAGCTCGCTCTTAATTTTCTATTGATATAGCCTTAACTCTTAACCCTGAGCTAGATAAGTACTCATAATTTGTTACGGTTCGGCAGAGTATTATTTATAAGTGTTTTATCAACTAAGACTTCTATGAAGAGTGAAGCTTAAAGTATAGAAATAGGAAGTTGGCTGTTGGGTTGGGAATAGAATAGCCTCAAAGGCACGGACCAAGTGCCTAAGCGAGGCGAGGCTCTAGCACTAGCGCCTTAAAGGTTAACGTGACAAGAATGATATTTTTAATATAGTATAGTTAGTCAGATTATTGACTTTTTGTCTAGAGATAGATATATAGATATAATAGATGGCTGACATGAAGAGTTCAGGGACTGTCCAGTCAATTGATTTGCAAGAGTCGGGGTGGCGAGGGGGTAGTCACGTGTTACTATATAGAGGTCTAGGGATCGCTCGGTATAGAAGGGAAGAAAAAAAGCCTATTCATTTCCTAAGTAATAAGAATATATCTAAATAAGAGAAGTAGTAGATAAGAGAAGTTAACTATACAACCTCATATATGCTTTAGGAAGAAATACACCCCACGGACTAAACACTAGCATTAAAGCTCCTCAGGGGCTCTCGGAGTATCAAGATGAACAAAACCAATATTTTCCTTCCTCCTCTTGCCAATCTCCCTATCCTCATCCTCAGAACGTTCCACGATGCCCCACGCACAAGTCCACCGCGCAACGTCTTCCTGTAGCGTACGGCGATCTATATGGACTGATGGCAAGCACTGTTCCACGGAATACAAACCACAGTTTATATGAGCTGAATTGGCGTGCTGGAACAGGCATTCATTTAGCGTTGCTGGAGTATGTAGGAAGTGCTCGCCTTGTGCGGCGATGAATTCCGCGCGCTCGGATTTGGTGTTTGTGTGCTCGATGAGGTGGATGAAGCAGGCAGGGGAGAGTTTCAGGATGCTGTTGAAAAGACGCCAGTACCGTGGTCCTTCTTCGCCCCAGGCCAGCTTGTCGAGAGATCGGAGAGGCATGCCGTGGTAGTCTTGTACAGTCCGGTTGGAGGGGAAAAGGTCGAGTTCGATAGCGAGTTTGATGTGGTAAACTAGCTCGCTAAGATCATGCACTGCATTATCGGAGAATGTACGCACGAGACGCATGCGTAGATCATCAGACGTGTTTGGGAAGTCGGGATCGAATTGCGTGTATGCTTGGTCGTGGAACAGGTTCGTGTACGTCCAATAGTTGTACACAGCTCGGTGCACGCGTAGTTTTTCATGGCTGCGTAGCAGACGGCGATGATGAGACCCAAAACGCCATCGGAGGCGCGGGTACAGCTCAACCCATTTCTCTGCCACCTTGCCGTACTCGACCATCCTCTTCATCAGCTCGAGGGTCAGCTTGGGCTTATCTTCCACTTCGAGGATTCGCTCGACCATGTTTGTACGACGGAACTCGGTACCCATAGGTCTCCGACTCTTTTCGGGTTCTTTGCTTAGGACAAGCTTGACAAGCTCGGGGAGAGGGCCATATGAATTGTGCATGGCCTGTTCGAGGATTGGCATGCGGCGGCCAAGGAGGGTGCGGTAGTGTTTCTTTGAGGTTTGCGCGAGGTGAAGCGCGTCTTGGATGTTGGTGTATTCGTAGATCCTCTGAAGGAGCTCTGTGGAGAGACTATTGATCGACATCTTGGCTTGTAATTTACTATAGCTGGGTTAGCAATTGTGCAATGGATTTGTTTTCATGACTCACTTCTATTTTTGTATAATGTTTTCTGGTTTCTTGCTTCGTCTGTTGAAGCAGCTCTGGTCAATGATAATGACCTCTTCTATCTCCTCTGGCGTCCTACGCCCCTCTTTCATACAATGGAATGCTCAAGTAACAAAATTTAGTATCGATTCGATCGATCAGGTACGCAATAGAGCGTATACCGTGGTGACAGCTGTGTAAACAACCACCAACGGCGCGGAGGATCAAGAGAACTAGCTCTCAAACCCCCCGCCATTGGGGGTATAAAAAGAACAGACGGCATCGTTCGATGCTCTGCTGCTTAAGTATGCCAGTCGCATGGGACTGAGACGCTGTGGTTGAATCATGATTGTTGTGGTTGAAGAAGAGAGAGTGAAATGAAGCTCCGAGATGAAGTACGAGTAAGGGGAGGTCAGTGCTTTGATTAGTCATCTATACTCTCCGTACGGTAGCCTGTAGGTGTGGGTATACCTTCACCTCCATTATTGTCTCTCTCTTTTCCCAATTCTTCCCTTCCTTTTCACATTCTTCCGGGAAAATCATCAAAAAACTAGAATGGGCAAAGAGGTGTAGGTAAGGAACAAAAGTTTCAGTAAAGAGAAGATTGACCTAGGTATCGCAAGGACTCTGATATCGATAATGTAAGATTACAACCTTGGCCTTCCTATAGGCCGACCGCCTGCGCAATTCATTACTCAGACTGCAAGTGCTCCTAGTGCGTACCCTTCCCCGCATCTTTCCTCTACTCTATCAGATCTGCATGATGCAGCAGTACAGGTGGTCATCGTTCCATGTCGTTGCTTCTAATTGGAATCAGCTTGCGATTCTAAAGCAGAGTGGGGTGAGTGAGTCAAACCTTTTGACTCAACCCCGACATAAACGTCACTTCCAAATATCTCGCACATTTCTTTTTCTTATTTCAAGATTTCAAACAAATTAGAATCTGGGAAGTACTACAACTCTAAGTGTCATTTTAGAGTCGAAAATTCCTAGTCCAAAAAGATCATACAGTGTTATACTCGATTCTCCATACTTTACCACCCTGGATATGGCGGGAGAGAACATCAAAGAACAGACCATTCCTATACTCGACTCTAAGAGCAGTAGCGAAACTATCGACGTGGTTCAAAACTCTCTAAAAGGGCAAGATCTCGGGTCTAATCATGAGGAAGATGTGCCATCTATCTCCCAAAATATCGAATCCATAGAAATGCAAATCTGTGCGACAGAGCACAGTCTTCCCACACCACAGAAGAAGACTTCTATGCAAACCTTACCTACCGAAATCCTCATGGCCATTATGGCTAATATGGACGGACCTACATCAGCCTGTCTAGGTTTGACATGTAGCAGAATTTACTCTATCCACTTTTCGCTCAAGGGCCGAGTTCGTTTGAACCACAAGTCAAACCGTCAATCTCGATCATGGATCTTCGCAGAGGAAATTGCTCTCAAATAACTGATTGAAGGTTGGATGGAGAAATGCAAATATTCGTTTTGCCTAAAGCACTTCATCTACGTACCTAAAGGATCTGCATGGTCCCTCTGGAATTGGATGCCATCTGAAATGAACAGCGAGGAGTACGCTAAGGCTTGTAAGAGGAGAAGACTACTTACAAGGCGCGGGATTTGGAAATGGGAGCAGGAGCAAGAGTGGAAAGCGGCGGAGAAATGGGTGTCTAAAAGGATGGGGAAAAGGCATTTGGTGAGACAGCGGGAAAAGGATCAGCAAATGCTGGGTATGGCGACGCAGAACTCGAAGGGTACACCAAAGGGCTTTGAGAGGATGCATGAGTTAATCGGATATGCTCAGAAAGCGCTGAAGGACGGCTTAATCAAGAAGTGGAATGGCATGTAACCATACATACGGTCACTTTATTACGACGAACACTGTCAGATTTCGGAAAATGCACCCGCCTAGCCACCCATTTCTTCACCTGAGACCAGTATTGTTGCATGTCATTACCTGACACCATATAAAACCCGCGTAAGGGCAAAAAGGGTTAAAACGCAATTGAATAGATTGGAGATATGTGAAGCAGAAAGTGGCCTACAGTACACCTAGCATTTATCTGATCCGAATACTTCACATCTCTGTCGCCTTCCCATTCACAACAATGACTACTCGTATCAAAACTCATACATGCGCTCACACTTACGCTTTACACTTACACCACCCTCCTTCCACAATACGTCCCCATCGATAATCTTCGCCTCCTGAACATTCGCAGCAAGAGCAATACCAAGAGCAACAGCAACAGCAAGAGCAATAGCAATATCTGTAGCCATACGCGCCCGCACATAAACAGAAGTCAATTCATCGAATCCGCAATCCTAGAAACGTAGCCCGTGCTGGCTGTTCGCGATGCGGCATTTGATTTGAAATGAGCCGGCCATAGGTCCTTGCACGCAGTGAGATGCCGGCGTGGGGGGAGGCCTAGTGGCAGTAGTTTGGTGGTGCTGTCTGTCTATCAGTGGCGCTGGAGGCTGAAATAGGTAGCTCGTCGAAAGAGGGGTTGTTGGGGAAGGGGTGGTTATGGAGAGGTGATGGTGGAATTGGAGGTGAAAATGGAAGTGCTGGTGGGGAGGCAGACGCCTGTGCACAGCTGCAGCGGGGAGTTGGTTTGGAGAATGACCGGTAGTGATTTTGGCCCACATGCAGGGTCTGTTGACTATTGCTACTAGTTGCAAGCGGTACGAGCAGTACAGGGCGAAGGAGACCTAGAGAGGTGAGCAAGTTGGTATTGTAATGTTTTATTTAGAGACTATAGATGTAGCAACATCAAGCAGACCTGTATTTGAAAGACGACAATTTTTAAGTATAGAGAGCACCTCTGGCATGGCTTGTATACCAAATACTAGGAGATATATAGGAACTCATAAGAGCTTTACATTACGGTACTTTGCCTTGCCTATTACCCCGCTTCCCCGCAATCTCACATATGGGATAAACATTCCAAAGTTACAGTCAGGCCTAGCTTCAAAGTATTCAGCTCGAATAAAAGGCTCACAACCACCCTGTTCCCCACATGTTCTTGGCAACACGCAGATCCGGAATGATGGTTACACGAATAATCCTACTGGGCTGAATCCTGCATACTAAGCCTGAGCCGGGGGAATCATCAATGCAGATCGTATCACCCCAACTTGCGAAAACAAAGCCAAAAACAAAAACAGTTCTCAAGACTTCTTGATACAAATAAGGAGTCTCGTATATATGCCATGCCTTACTTTGTACTTGCCGTGGTGGGGCTGGTCAGATGATGATGAGATGTGGAGAAAGCAAGTTCAATTGAGAAAACGCCAACGCCGCAATGATGCCTGTAGTAACGTCTGAAATAGTGGAGAACAATAGCGATATGCAACAAAACCCCCCGAGAGAATTGTGGGTTTTCGAATCAATGCGCAGCTGAATACGCCTCTTGCTCGCAGGCGAATATGCAGGATAATGGATGGGAATAACCTTCAGATCAAGGCCCACTAGGGCAATATCGAACCGATGTGTAGTGTAATGTAGTATATCAAAGGCGGAGATAGGGCTATGGGGGTATACATTCTCCATTCCTACAACCAATTTTGCGAAATGCTCGAATACTTTTCCCAGACACCAAACGCCACGACATGCCACTTTGATCCTCTCAAGCAAATAACGTTCCTGTATCCAGCTCATCGACCTTCGCTTTGCGTCCCCCGTCAGTCCTGAGACCCAACTCTCCCTTCTTCGCGAGCCTTTCCACTCCCTGTTCAGCCCTCTGGTTATACCTCCCCGCTTTCTTGAGACGGATCTCACTCCTCACTTGGTTAGGCGACACGAACTCCTTATTCTCATAAATAATCGGGCCCCCAAAACTCCCCTCCTGAATAACAATCGGCGTGAGCACAAATCTCGGTCCGATCTCCACCAGACTAATCTCCGTCTCCTTCCCATCAGCATTCTTTTTAACTTTCGGCTTGGCGTCCGTACTGTCGGTGGAAGTAGAGATTCTCGACGGCTCCGTCTCGCTGATCTGGTAGTTCCGGATCCAGATCTTGCCATCGGCAAGCGTGAAGCCCATGACGTGGTCGACGAATGGCTTGGCCTTCCGAGCGCCCTTTGGGACGCCGAAGATGTGCATGAAGAGCTCTTTTAGCACGCGGAGATGCGGTTCTTTGTCGAAGGAGGCGTCGAAGGAGAGGAGCGGGCGGGAGCCTTTGAGGCAGTTGCCTGTGAAGTGGAGTTCTTCCATTGTGTGCACTAGATGTTGTGAGTTGGTGGGGTAATTGGAAGGGGAGGGGTGAAGTACGGTTCTGCATGTGCATCTTTACGGTGGGCCCATTGGGTGCTTTGCTCATCCAGAGGTAGAGATCCTTGCCTTTGCGGGCTTCGAAGAAGAAGACGTTGTTGCAGTTGTACAGTTCTGCTAGTTCGTTGAGTTGGTAGAGTTTGGATTTCGTGTCGAGCTTTGCATCTTTGCGGCTGTGGGGTAATAAGGAGGCAAGATCATTCAAGAGATGACGATGTCTGTTTCAAGTTGTTATTAGCAACTTCTTATACATACATGCGAGAGAAAAGCTTTTGGGGGTGTGTAGTACCTGTAGGTAATTCCTCTCGAAGATAATATCAAAACCCTTTGCTTGTTCTTCTTGATCCCATTCGCAGGCGCCTCTTGTTTATCGCCATTGGACTTCGACAGCGCTTTGTAGGCAGACATGGCGTTGGGTAGAAGGTGAAGTACTGAGACGAAGCTGTGACGGCGTAAAGATGCCCAAGATTTCAGAATGAGGTCGGCGCAAATTGAAATTCAAACCTTCAACTTTTTTATCTCTTGATATCAAAATCTAATCTTAGCGCCAAATGGTTAGCCACCTTTCCTCTTTGGGTCTAGACTATTCCTATCAGCCTTGCGGACGAAGTGAGCTTTGAAGATTTTGTTATCTTTCTTTCTTTGTTGTTTGAAAACTTTCTCAGTGGTGTCTATTTGACGTCGTTTCTTTGTTTGCAATTCTGTCAATAGTATACAGGTTAGATCCGAATATCCCATGCCTCGATGAGCGCTTTTGACGTAGCTCTTAGCATTATTCATTGCTGCAATTCCTCGAATTGATATCAATAAAGGTATACATTACTAATTATCTTATTTTTGAATTGAGGAAGTCCAATAAACGGGGCCGTTATTAGTGTTTCATACATCTTGGGATCCGAAGTGATTCATAGTGGTGCCTGTTGTGTTTGGGAAGCCTGGAGAGGGGGTGGACAAGGCGGAAAACATATATTTGGGAGGCATGCACGGTCATGGAACACATTCTCGAATTTGAAAGAGAGACCTCGGTGAGCAAACAGACGTGTGGCACATAATACAATCTAGTAGGGCATTAAGACAAGCGTCTATTAAGAAGCAGAGCATGGCGATCGTTAAAAGGCATCGACACCCAACCCCTAAACAGGACTATGACACCGTACAAAAGAGACGCATCGTAAAAGGCAACGAAAAAAAGACCACACTTGAAATGACAAGAGGACAGTCTAAAGAATCTGATCCCTAAAAGCTAGTCGATCAACTGGGCACCTTGTGTGCGCAGCTATTACAGCCTTGGTCCTGAATTTCGTGACTACCCGCATTTTCTCCTGCCATGACATTGTTATAGACGCCTCGCCTCGTATCAACCATCAAACAACCCGAATATATTCGCTTAGCATAACTTGTGAAAAGAATTCCTCAGCAGCATTTGCCACCCTTTGGTGCACCTCCATCTGCGGGGTTGGTGAGTTCAATCTTCTGTCCAGCGCCGAGGTTGGCTTGTGCCGAATCGCCGTTGTCGAGAGCTTTTTGGGAAACGATTCGGTAGATTTCTGGAGGAATGCATGTTAGCGGAGTTTCCCTTGCAGGTGGGTGTGCTGATACATACCTGTGAGAATATTCTGGAAAGCGAGCTCAACGTTGCTTGCATCGAGCGCGGAGGTTTCAATAAAGGAAAGGTTGTTCTCGCCTGTGAGCAATATCAGCATCGAATCATCCTGGATCGCACAGAGCACCCATACTTGCAAACTGCTTTGCCTCTTCGGTAGGAACGGCTCTCAGGTGTCTCAAATCGCTCTTGTTTCCTACCAGCATAATAACGATGTTCGAGTCGGCATGGTCTCTCAACTCCTTCAACCATCTTGTGACATTTTCGTATGTTTGGTGTTTGCTGATATCGTAGACAAGCAAAGCCCCTACGGCACCTCTGTAGTAGGCGGATGTGATGGCGCGATATCTCTCTTGTCCAGCAGTATCCCAAATCTGCGCCTTGATCGTCTTCGCATCTACCTGGATCGACCTAGTTGCGAACTCTACACCGATGGTGGACTTGGAGTCGAGGTTGAACTCATTACGTGTGAATCGACTCAAAAGGTTGGATTTACCAACGCCAGAGTCTCCGATCAGTACGACTGAGGGGGGCACATGTCAGTGTTCTGGGGGGCATAGGGGTTCGATAGGGTAAAAGGGGGAACGAGCAGGCATCGGCGGTGGGGTTCCAGCTTACCCTTGAAGAGGAACTGTGCAGAGGGAGACGTTAGCAGAGGCAGAGCAGTGAGGTTGAGGATATAATACATACGTCGTATTCGTCATTCGCCATGGTTGTGTGTGTATTTGTATTTGCTTGCGTATGTGTATGTGTATGTGTAGTTTGATTCAAATGGTTGTCGCAATGTTCGGTGGTCCTTGTTGAAGCCCGCTCTTTGTGGTTTGGCGCAAAGGAGAAGTAGACGGGCTCGACGGGGCTGCGCTAGTAAAATACGGGTAGTAATTCCTACAGTGTTCCTTCTCCATAAAAAAGTCGAGCCTCGCGATCGAGAGGGAAAAGCGGCACCAATTTATAACGTGCCCGGTGGTTAAAAGTCAATGATAATGATTGCTGCTTTTATGTGCCTACATAACATAAGGTAAGGAACATAATAACGAGTTTAAGGGTTCGTGATTGGCGGCCTTTTGTGGGGAAGGCCACTCCACTCCAGTACGCGGTGCTTCAGCTTCCATTCACGCTTTCCTCGTGAAACAAACGGAGACTCAATCACTGACCAGACAAATTATTCTTTGAAAAGAAGAGGACAGAAAGAGGCAACATCTGAGACTATTCCCTCAAGCAGAGGATGCGTGTTTCGAAACAGCACAACCAACCCCGTTGACATCTCAGCGCTGGATCACGTGTTGGCATCAAACCACAAGAAGAAACGACAACCTGCCTCTAGAACTGAACCGGCACGAAAAGCCTCAGCTTCAGCCTCAAGAATGAATCTCTCCGCATAAAAGTGTTCATCTTCAACATGTCTACTTTGGCGAGAAGAGCCTCCATGAACGGCGACGGCGACGGGGACGACGACGACGACTCTATTTCAACCACCTCCACCCAGGACAGCGAGCAGTCTGAGGGACACGAATATGAGGTCGACCGAGTTCTAGCTGAGAAGATAGTCAAAGAAAAGTCGGGCAAAGGCAAAAAGTTCTACTTGTTGCTATGGCAGGGTTATTCGGAAAAAAGGGCAACATGGGAGCCTAGAGCCAATATCTGCGACCCCAAGATCCTGGATGTTTGGAGAGAAAGACAGAAGAGAGAGGATCAAGGCATAGAGACTCGTTTTGATCTTAAGAGTTTCGATGCACAGAAGGCTGATCGGCGCCGACGTCGGAAAGTCAAGAGAAGACGTCTTGGTATTACGGTTTTGGACTCGGAGCCAGACGATGATGAGTCTATGGTCGAAGCTGCTGAAGTAAATGCTTCTAATGAGCCGTCAGAGACCACATTCAGGGTGCCAGTTGTTGGAGAAAACGCTCAGCCGCTCGAGAAGACTTCATCTGAGGTACCACGAAACTCTATTGCGAACGCAAATGGAACTCCGGTGAGTGATGCCCTGCGACGTCTACTTCATTGTCACTGAAATCAAGCAGATAAAATCATCAAAACAAGGTCAAGCACAAGATGCTTGCGATTCTTCTCCAGATGTGCCTCTAGCGGCGACCCGACGACGAAGGAGGTCACCGCCTCAAGGACCAGATTCAGACCCCGAGGAACTTGAGCCTCTAGCCAAGCGACATCCAACCATACAGCTGAGTCGCCAAGCATCTACCGCTTCTACGAGACAAGACTCGCCACCGACACCTCGACCAGGATCAGTGGCGTCTAATTCGACATCAGATCTCCAGGAGCTTGTGCCTAGGGATAGTTTTCGTATACGAAAGAGAGGCAACGGAGCATTAAGGGGAGGGTCTACCATGTTACACAAGAATGTGTTTGAACGCCGGGGTCCCGAGAAGAAGAAACGGCCAGGCCTCCTTGAAACGTCCAGAGATCCCACCAAAGGGGTAAAACACTATACGAACATGCACATAAAGTACAAAGCAATGAAAGCTAGCAGAGAGCTCTCCGATGCAGCGCCGGATGTCTCTGCTTTACCCGGGGGGCTGGTCAATCCGTCAAATCCATCTGCATATCAGCCTCTGGACCCTGCTTCGCTTCGGAGGACATCGTCAGGTGTACATCAAGAAATGAGATCAGATGCTCTTTTTGTCCCAGAGCATAGTCGCGAGGAAATTCTCCCAAATCCGCAAGGAGATATCGCCACCGTTCCAGACGCGGAATTTTGGGAAACTACTCGTGAGGTTGAACAGGTGACATGCTACTTTTGGTTCCACAATGGTGGCCAGTGTGCCAATAGACAAAATTGCTCGTTCTTACACCGCGCAAGATCGGATATTCCAGTGGCGTCCCACCCTGTTGGACATTTCAAGACGAGTGGAGATTTTGGGGATGCGCCCAGAACTTGCCATTTCTGGAACCTTAATGGCACATGCGCAAATGGAGATCATTGCAAATTTCTACATTATCATGAAGTGGGGATTCCAATAGCTCCGCCTCCTCGCCCTCAAAACGAGATGCAAATCCCAGTGCAAGGGGATACATCTGATAACAACGACCATTGGAATGATGTCTCGGAAGGTGACCCAACACCACAATCTCCAGAACAAACTCCCCAATCTCTAGTACATTGGCGGGATCCTTCGTCAAGACCTGAAGACAACGCCTCCTGGAAACTTCAATTTACCTGCTACTTTTTCCACGCCAATGGCAGTTGCACAAAAGGGGATAGTTGTAGCTATCTTCACACCACCGATCCAACAATACCCGTAGCACTGAATCCACATAAGAAATACCCTAAAAACAAAAGTATAGATGATAACCCGATATCTGGCCAGCCGGGACTGACAAGACCACCTTGGGATCCCTACGAACCTTTCCATGCTATTTGCTTTTTCTGGCATCATACAGGGACATGTCGCAAGGATTATGCTTGCGAGTATATTCATACGAATGATCCCTCATTGCCTCTCGCACTAGACCCTAAGATATGCCGCTACTGGGTAAAAAATCAATGTTCCGACAACCCATGCAAATATCTTCACCGTTTTATAGAGGCCACACCTAACGGTAAACATGCGGGTAGAGATACGAATTATAGTGCTACCGAGAAAGAATCTCAGACCCAACCAGCTATACCAAGCGGCCCCCGCCAGAAGTCTGTCAAATTTGTATCCGACGTTTCACTGCCGTTCGTCGAGCGCCTGTCAGATACTCGGACTGCAACTGGATCAAACTCCGTCCCGATTATTCCAAATTCCCAGGTCCCATTGCAAGATGAACAGCCTCGAGCTCAGCCTCTGTCCCAGCCCCAGCCTCTGCTTCAACTTCAGCAATCTCCTCTCCACCAAAACATACTCTCAATACCTGAAGCGAAGCCTACATCATCTTCCAAGGCCAAGAAACCAGTTGTGAGTTTCATAGAGTACCAGCGAAAGCAAGCAGTCAAAGCTCTTGGCAATAGAGCAAAGAAGATCATCTTTGGAGACAACGAGCAATCAGCTGCCATTCTTGATATTGGTGACTTGGGGCCGGAATATTTTCAGCCATGGGGTCAAACATTCTCTACGCTCCCTACCATTCAATTTGACAAAGAATGTATTGTGCAGGACTTTGAGCTGTACTATAGCCGGCTTCAACGCTTAGATTTATGGGTAGGAAGCTTCATTCTAGCAGACTCTGCAAATTCAGAGGCATCAAAAATCGTTGATGATATAGCGCAAACTTTACGACTGAGATCATCTGGCATGCTTGCTATTTTGCCACATTTTATCATCCTTACTTTCCCCGCGCGAGTTGAGGAATGGAAATTCTTAGAGAAGTCAATCGACTATCCAAGAGAAATAAGGCTTCGTTACTTGGTCTTTCAAAGCCATCAGGATATCAAGCCAGCCCTTAGAGATGTTGCAGAAGAAAGTGCGAATCCAAGAGCTGCTCCTTATAGGAAAGCCTTGATGAAGAATGTTCACGAGCTCTCAGTCGCACACCTGCTCCCAAGCCTCGATAAAAAAAAAGATAAAGGCAAAAACCCTTACGTGTTCTACCTGCTATTTCCCTCGACTTCAACAGCGAACTTTATTTTCTCTTGGCTGCAAACAAGTAATTCCTACGCTAAAATCTTCAGTAGCCAAACCGATGGATCCTGGGACTTCTTTGCAAAGTCATTTGAAATGGGAGTTGTACTTGTTCACGAGTCTTTAGCCTCCGAGCTATGCAGCTTACCAAAGTTGTCCGAGGTCATTCAGAAGAGAGTAATGTTTTGGTACATATCTGACTCAGGCTCTTCATACCCGATGTTTCCAAGCGAATATTCTCTAGACGACTCAAAGCTGGGGAAGCTTACTACTACGCGGCTTTTCCCTCATGGCGCAACAATTCTCCTTACTCCAAGCTTCATCATTGCCGAACCTGAGAAGACTTTCTCGCTCCTCCAATGGTTCTTCGGGCCTCTTTCCAAGGATGGCATCAACAGAAAAACTGGAAAGATTCATACTGCCACATCTGGAACGTGGAAAATTGTCTGCTGCTATAACTTTATTGAATACTTGCTAGAAGTTGCCAATGCAAAGTCATTAGAGCGAGACCGATTCTACGAAGCCAACAAGAATAAGCCTTCTAAGGATGCCGAAGCTACCCAGAAGGGTTTAGGATTTGAAAAATGCAACGGCCGATACGAAATATACAACTACATGCTCACCCTGCAGACAAGCCAGCGCCTTGGTCCCTCATATGATGACATTGACTACTACAATGGTACCGCCGATGAGAAGCAAAGCCCGCTTATTTTCGCTGACCGATACATCGACCCCGATGATGAAAGAGCATTAGTCGAATGGTACGCTGGCTGGTCTATGTGCAGATTAGATCTATTCCGAAGGTTTCACGTCATTGGTGCAAGTTCAGAAAATGCTCACAAGGCCTCGAGACTGAAGGAATTCCCTATTGGCAGGGCAAGTAACTGGCAGGAGCCAATGAACCTACCAAGTTCGAAGTTTTCCGGATTCTCTTTCCCCAAACTCACCACCCCCTCTGCCACACAATCTGTTCGGATGACGCCCCAGATGCAAAAGGCCCTCACAGTCGCCGCGAAGTTCAGAAATCCCAAAGAAGACTCAGCCTTGTCTCCCACTGCAAAGTCTCCACAGACACTGATTGGCGCAGGCACAACCCAAGCCTCACCAGCTGTGTCTGGTAGTAATACGAGCATAATCATTTCTTCACCAAGTACTACGGACAACATGAATCCCCATAAAATCCAGGGAACATTCCCTGGGAACCACTCTGGCGCGGACCTTGATTTCGAAATCGTGAAACTCATCGCCGAGAACTCCAAGCCACAGGACAGAACAGGGGATATCATGGGAAACAATATCATTCGTGAGTCTCTAAGGCTAACAACGTCTAATCTAAACACACACCCTTCTCCCAACTCGGCTGTAATAACCGCCACCTCCGCCGAGCCTAATCTATTCTCACCCGAAAATGCAGATACCTCTCCTTACCCATTCGATGGCGCAGGTGACGATCGCCCTATGTCATCTGGTACAGATGGTAGCAGAAGGTCCGTTCGCTCAGGCATCGTCGACGAAAACGGCAAGCGCATGGTCCCTCGCTCTGTGCGACCCTCAGACACCGTCAGAAAGGAGATCCCAATCAAACCGGGCTATGTTCCCAACGACGACAAACCAGTTTACCGCAATCGCTGTGTCGTTGATGGCATTCCTCAATATGAGTTTGGATCTAATCCCACCTCAGCTGTGGCTAGTCCTGTCGTCGGAAGTCCTGCTCCTTTTTCAGCGCTTACCCAAGCTATGGAGGACAAGATGACCGTTGATTCTGACGGTCTCACGGCGGTAGATGATGAGGAAAGTGAGGCCACAGAGGAAAAGGAGTGGAAAGAGATTCGGTTTGAGCCGACGACTGCCTGGTATAGAAATCTGGTGGCGCACGGTGGTGGATGGAATCATATTTCTGTGGATGGTTGGGAGAAGCAGTGGAAGGTTTTGGGGATTGTCAAGAAGTGAGTTAGAAAAGGGAATTGAAGGGTGGGAGGGCGTTGCACAAGCAAGGCACGCTTTATATACGTTGCATGATGGTAAGGGCTTCTTTTATGAATTGTAATAACTATAGGATGGGAAGCATGATACGCCACTTCTTGTGTATTTATAAGTCATTAGGCATTTGCAGTCTGCAATATATAAATTTTTCAAGAAGCCCGGTCCCAGTGTGAAGAGACGTTCGCTTGTCTTCATAATGAATTGGTTTGACGGTTGTCGAAGAGTGAATGGTTGTGCCACTATGCTTGCTCCTACAGCACGATGAAGTTCAGAGTTGCATGTCCTACTAGGAGGCTCGTCAGCGCTTGTCCTAGCAGAACTGCTATAGATATTGTCAATGCTTCTCTTCTTGAGAACACGAGGCGTTTTCTTAGATGGGCATATATCAGAAGTCGAGCAGCAAATATGTAGGCTGTTCATTCAGACTGACAGCTCTTGAGTCCAAGCTTTATGAGGACGACTAGAGGTACATATTGTTAACGTTTCTCTATGTACACCTAAAACAAATGGAGTTGAAATGATGTTTTACATCCACACTGTCCTCGTGATAAAATTAAGATCGCGTCGTCGCCACCCACAAGAGCCCCTTTTTATGGGTTGATAGGAGTCCTCGACGCACAACACACCGTTGAGCTCTTTTTGCCTTTCAAACCCATAGGACCGTTGGATCTGGATTTCCGAGTCTCACCGATTCTGAGAAGTTATTGTTAACCTCGTGGTGACCAGGAAGGGGCGAGCTGCCTATGAGATCCCTTGAAGGTTGTGCTTCTCGCGTCACGTTGTTGCTATTTTTGTTTACACGCAACGCAACAACCGGACAACCAGCCGACCAGACCAGATTTCTTCCACAACGACGACCCGATGCATGACAGCTCATTCGGCGACTCTTGTTCAATACGACTGAACATCGACTTTAGTACAACAGATTCTTTAGTTCGCAATCCAATCCTCGTTCTATTCATCTGATCATCTGCAATTACCCCTCCTTCACCGCCCCACCAAGCGTTGAGAAGCAGTGTTCTAGTTCACCCCACCCCTTTCACGTCCCACAAAACATCATAAATCCATCATGGAGAATTACCAGAAGCTAGAAAAGGTCGGAGAAGGTCCGTACACTTTAATACAGGCCGGGTCGCGCTTCGATGAGTCTCCAGACACATCTGGCCTTAAACGCCAGCTGCTGACTTCTCCATGAAGGTACATACGGTGTAGTCTACAAAGCCCGCGATCTCCTTCACTCGGGACGAATCGTTGCGCTCAAAAAGATTCGCCTCGAAACTGAAGATGAAGGTGTCCCTAGTATTGCAATTCGGGAAATCTCTCTCCTTAAAGAAATGGATGACCCAAATATTGTCCGTCTCCTTAATATCGTCCACGCTGATGGCAATAAACTCTACCTCGTCCTCGAATATCTGGATCTAGATTTGAAGCGATATATGGATTCGCTCCTAGTATCTGATGGTGGACGAGGAAAATCTCTTCCAGAAGGATCTGGACCTGACTTGAGAAGACTCGGCTTAGGAGACGCGATGGTAAAGAAGTTCATGAGTCAATTATGCGAGGGGGTTCGATACTGTCACAGCCATCGCGTCCTACATCGAGATCTCAAGCCGCAGAATCTGTTGATCGATCGCGAGGGAAACCTTAAGCTTGCGGATTTCGGTCTCGCGCGCGCTTTTGGTGTTCCTCTTCGGACCTACACCCACGAAGTTGTCACTCTCTGGTATAGAGCACCAGAGGTTCTACTTGGAGGTCGCCAATACTCAACTGGTGTTGATATGTGGTCTGTTGGATGCATCTTTGCTGAGATGTGCACTCGAAAACCCCTATTCCCTGGCGATTCTGAGATTGATGAAATCTTCAAGATCTTCAAGTAAGTTTACATCCGAGTAAATGCCGCTCCTTCGCTGGTCCTCTAAGGGCCACTGCCATGAAGGCCAAGCTATCTTCCTTTGCCATAATACATGCTAACGGAACCAGGCTGTTAGGGACCCCCACCGAAGCCGACTGGCCCGGCGTTACAGACAAAACCTGCTTCCCTGATTTCAAATCATCCTTCCCCAAATGGCAACGCGACCAATTCAAACCCCTCTGCACTAACCTCGACGATCACGGCCTTGACCTTCTTGAAATGATGCTGGCCTACGATCCTGCCGGCCGCATCTCTGCCAAGCAAGCCTGCACCCATCCCTACTTCGAAGATGGTAGCGCTGCATACTCTGGTCATGGTCTGGGTCCGACGTACAAGGGCGCCGTTCCGATGGCTGCCAATAAGCCACTGCATCCGCTCCCACTGCCTCACAGTTATAATGGCAGAGCAGTAGGAGATGACAGATGAGTACCTAGCTTATACTGCACGAGCAGTCTTAGGCTTCAGGATATAATAGGACCTAGAAGAGGAGGGCCAGATTTAAAATACGGACTACTTCATTCCTTTGTCGGGGCTGGCCATATTCTTGCTGTATTTACATTTTTGTTTGTATTTTGGGGCAGGCAGGCGTACCTGGCGGATTGGTCAGATGAATCTCACACATATATGTGTACACGTTTATTAGTTTATGCGATGCATTTGCGATATCATTGCGGGCGATATCAGAGGGGACATGTAGTGTACTTCCCACTGTAGAAAAGCAGTCAATTCAAGCACTTTCATCCTGGATATATAGCTAGGAGCATTGCAACTATACAGCCTAGAGGACCAGCAACTTTATAATATAAACTTAACTTATGCTTCATCCTTCTTATATGTAAATCAGTCAAACTCCTAATTATTTGTAGCGCCTTTAACTTTAGTGTTAGATGAGATGTTCTTTTATAGTTATATAAAAGATATAAGAATTCCCTAGTCTCTGGATCTTTTACATAATCTCGATGAGGTAACGCTTCGATCCGTTCTCGTCGCTACTTAATCTGATATAGTCCATACGTTCGACATCCACACTGCCAGAATCGGCAAGCCCTCTCATCCACTCATAATCCTCAGAAATACGCTATTTTGGATGTACTCTTCCTTCTAGTTACCGAAGTATTGCGAATGCGTTTTTTGTTGTTGTTTTGTTCTAGAGATCATTTCGTGTTTTGGCAATATTTAAATCTACTCCTGGCTGTATATTCGGCTTTTCTTCCCCCTCATTTGTCACGCTCAACCATGCGGACCGGCCTTCGGTCCGTGATGCCTCAATCACGGTTCAAGTGCTACACATGTCGAGATTTAAGGGTCTGAGTTGTATTGGCTATCCCCAAATTTCCCCGGAATTTCTGGTAGAAACTGGAAATGATTTGAAAATTTAGGGAGAAATTCGCGACCCGATCTTAGATCCATCAAGAAGTTGCCCAGTTTTGACTGCTACGGCATAGATATTGGGCAAGAGACGATGCTGCAAGTGCAAATTCAAAAGCTCATATATAATACTGCCTTAGTCCCGGGACTTCCGGATATTCGTATCCAAACCTTGATATAAAGTTTCACTCGATGCCATGCTCTTCTTTGTTGAATCAGTCCGAATCGTCTTTCTCAACTTTCGACACGCCCTAATATCTGCTCTTTTGACATTAGTGATGGCGAGCTTCCAAATTTCTTACCTCGCTTCAATATTAGCTTTCATCGTTCACACAGCAGCATCTCTACCATCTCATATCGCTACAACGTGTCCAATCACCATAGACGGGCGAGTTTCCAGAAATGCAACCATCCAGACATTCGATACAGCTGCCTCACCGTTCAATCCAACATACACGAAGGGTCAAAATCTAACCTGGTCACAAATCATCAAGCTTCCCGCCATACGGCCTTCGAAATTCGACCTTCCAGTCCATGCAAAAGCACTCGAAGTAACAATCAACGACTCGTCCATTTTCGTCCCCGGTGGCGGTTCCCAGCAAGTAGGATTCCGGCGCGCGGCCTCCTCTTGGGCAATGGCTCGGATGCTACCAATGTGGGCGTGAAGACTTTCCACTGGAGCGTGAAGCAAGATCTGGACGCGAAGATGAATCTGACGCACGAGTATATGAATGCCTGGCACGAAACGAACGACTATGCCAGCAACCAGTTTTCTTTCAACACTGGTATTATGCTTGAGCAGGACCAGCCGACGGATGGCAATGTCACGACGACGGGATTGGATAGATGCCTGTGGAAGTTCCTGGATAGAAAGAATAATGTGCTTTGGACGACGGGGATCGAATGGGATGAGTGGCAGAACTTTGCGGTTACAGTGGATTATGAGAATAAGTGAGTTCGTCGTTTTGGCTGCGATGCCGGGGTGGCTAACGACTGATACTTGTTCAGTACTCTGCAGATTTACTATTCGGGCGGCTATGATGCTCTAAAAGCAGTCACGAAACCGATCGGTAATGATAATAGTGGCGGAGGACAATTCCAGATCGGGATGCTGAAGAAACCTACTGAAACCACCAGTGTCGACTACGATGGATACCAAGAGAAAGGTATTTATGAAGGGCAAATTTACGGGGGGATTTTCATTGAAGACAGCAGCAATGGCTGCACTTCAACCTGATGTATTACTAAGTCCAAAGTCCGAAAATTCAAAAGCTAGTGGAACTTATCGACTCTGCTAATTTCTCAAGGAGTTATCCGAGTCTTGTTGCTTGATGAGACATGCTTTTCTTAAAGCTGTAGCTAATAAGAATTTAATAAAGCTTGGAACTATAAAGCTTAAGCCTGGACGAGACCTATTTGTAGCGATCAGAGTGTTGCGGAATATGCGTCTTGGCTTAATGCTGGCCTAGAGTTTGTGGTGCTTGTCTGCAATCCAGGAGATATAGCCCCGCATTTCAGGGAGCGAGCGTCCAGGTCTCAGGGATCATGCACTGTGATTTCAGGCCCTTGCTGTATTGCATGTATGGCTGAAGAGCATACCAAGTACAGCCGAGCATACCCCACATCGCACCACGTTCACGTTGCAGCAATGCATCAATTCTAGTTCTTTACTACTTCGAACAAATGTCTTGAGAATTGGTAAATAATGCTCTGCGATCTCTGCCAAGGGTTGTCAATCAGCCAGCTAGTCAAGCTGGCAGAGACCGAACTTTCCGGCCACGACTTTCCCCAACAAGCGTTCTATCAGCACCACAGCTCTTACGAAAAGCTCAAATGCGCCGCTCAAAATGGATGCGAGCTATGCCAGCTTCTACTGCACGGGTTTGAGAACATTGCTGTGCGGGAAGGTTACTGGGAAGGAGAGACGAGGAGTTCTGCAATCGAGGACCTTGAGTCATCGGATATTAAAATCTGTATCAACTCGGAACACATCTATAGTGGAGATAGGATTGAAAATGTCCGGATGTTTGATATACTAATGGTTCAATGCGGCGTGCCGATCAACTCAAGGAGCTCAAATAGTGAAGAAGAATATATGAAAATTTCACCCTTGCGTCTTGCTCTTAAAGTACGTCGAGGTATGTTCTATTCCTTCCAATATCATATTGAGCTAATAGATCCTCTAAAGAAGAACCAAAAAGCGTCGGGAAGTATAAAATTGGGCGTGATCAGCTTGATCCTGACCTTGCATCGGACGTCAATATGCGCCTCGCAAGGAATTGGCTTGACGAATGTCATCAAAGGCACGCCTCCTGTCCGGCGGAACAGATTCCAGTGCTACCTAGCAGAGTAGTCGATGTCGGGGTATCTAAAGACGCCCAATTCTGCAGAATCCTAGTCTCAAATGGAAGGACCGGCAAGTACGTTGCCCTCAGTCACTGCTGGGGAGGACCGATTTCACCTCTATTAAATACAGCTACCCTACCCGGCTTTCAAGAAGCCCTTGCAATCTCAGACTTACCAGCCAACTTTCGCGACGCAGTATTAGTTACGCGGAACCTCGGAATGCAGTACTTGTGGATTGATTCTCTTTGTATTATCCAGGATTCTAGTCGGGATTGGGAAGTGGAATCCGGGAACATGTGCTCCATCTACCAAAACGCAACCGTGACCATATCAGCATCCGCATCACGCGGAAGCAAAGACGGCTTCTTGAAATGTACGACGAGCCAGTTTCAAGCGGGGAACCCAGTATCCCTACGTCTATCCCCGACCAGCGCTCCAGAAGATGTAGTAAGTGTTGCTTTGAAAGACGAAGACGAAGAAGACCTCACGCGCCTCGTTCTAAGCGGGCCCTTGAACCAACGCGGCTGGACTCTACAAGAGGGTTTATTGTCTTCCCGAATCCTGTACTACGGCAGTAGGCAGATATACTGGCAATGTCCGGCGGGCTTGCAGTCTGCCGAAGGTGTGCCGTCCGGGAACCAGATGCCCGAATCCAGCTATCCCGAGACCTCGCACCTTCTGTATTCGCAGCACCAACCCAATCGGGCTCGAGAAATAAACAGAGCCCAGCTCCTCACGGAGTACTATACACTAGTGCAAGAATACTCCGCCCGAAGCCTCAGTTTCAACTGCGACAAGTTCCCTGCCTTCGCAGGCATAGTGCAGCTTCTACGCCCAGCTATCGGCGGTGAGTACCTGGCCGGTATCTGGAGCACAGATGTACGTCGCGGTTTGCTGTGGCGCGCTGAAATGGAGACCTGTGCACATGTGCACGAATACCGCGCTCCGTCTTGGTCCTGGGCTGTGACTAACGAACCGATTATCTTTGACTTTGCAGACAGTACCGTGCCAAGTCCCTACGACGTTGAAACAATCTCCCACGAGATGACTTTCAAGAGCCACGGAAACTTATATGGACAGGTTGATGCGGCACGGCTTTGCCTGAGAGGCTTGACTAAGAAACTAGTGCGCAGTAACCAGAAACTCGACATCTCATATCCCGACCACGAAATCGCAACTGTGTACTTCGATGAACCGGAACCGGGCAGAGATATCGAAGTATGGTCTAGTGTCTTCCGGGTGTTTGAAGGCGAGGATGACCATCTGATTTCGGTGATCAACGGGCGTGGATTCGAGGGAAAGGAATGGGAGATAGACTTTGATCTATGTTCTGAGATCGAGTACCTGGTTCTTCTGATAACGGCAGACGTGGATACTGAAAACACTGGCTTGTTCAACACGAGCTGTTTGGTGCTGGCAAAAGTGGCCGAGCAGCCCGGTGATGTATACATGCGCGTTGGTTATCTCAATCTACACGCTGTAAAGCTGGAGAGCTGGACGAAGTCCTGGGAACGTCAAGCTTTGACAATTGTTTGACCTTTGAACGCTCGGTCAGGAGCCATTCTCCACTTGCTCGAGTAGCACAAGTCTGCAGTTTCACATGGCTGACTACACGCACAAGGGAGAAGGGAAGCATTTTAGATGTTGATATATGGTATTGAATTAATCTAATAAGTACCATTTATCTTCCAACCTTCTCCAAATCCCAACTCTCATTACTATTAACCACTTCTAATAAAACCCACAGATCGACCCGAATGAAAGAAAAACCCTGCCAACACCATGCTGCAATCACTTTTTATACCCATCCATCCGCCTTCTTCAAGTTGATATCTCAAAAACCGTTCAAAAGATTGGTCAGACCACATGTCCATCTAACCCCCTCTCTGATCCATGCATCATCCACCTCACATCCCGCTCACGAGCGTGAGGCATACACCCTGCGGCCGTAGTATACATCGTACGCGGCGTTGACGCTCTCGTGGTGTTCCTTTGCCGATCGCACGACCCTCTTGGCTGCGCGCTCGAAGACGCTGGTTTTCTTGGAGGCTGGGCTTGCTGAGTCTGAGGATGTGCGGGGGCTGTCGAAGGAGGCGCTTGGTGCGGACTGGGCGATGGTGGTGCGGGACATTGCGGCGGTTGGTTGGTGTGTGGGGGAGGTTGTGGGGGAGGTTGTGGGGATTTGAGGTTGTATTTGTGTTTTGAGGTGGTGGTTGTGGTTGTGGTGTTTGTTGTATGTATTGACTTTGTATTGATTGAGATTTGATTGATTGTATTGATTAATTGTATTGATTGAACTGTGTGTTTGAATGGTGATGTTGTGATGATATCCCTCATTCCACCGAGACCTCCCACCCTATATATATTATATTCCCCTCTCTCCCCAACCCATCATCTTCCATTGCAAACTCTTCTTCGCCATGCATTAGTAAGATCCATATTTCTCTCACCACGCTCTTCGCACGACACGATCCCGTAATTTGGACCATACCGCACGGAGTACGCACGCGCGGAGTTGGAACGCGGAGTTCGAGTTGGCGGCGGCTGAAATTTTGATTTTTAATTTTCCCCCCCTGTGTACGCAAACGGCGCCCTTTGCGCTCCCAGCGAATCAAAAGCTCGACACGTGCTGAATCCTCCCCGCGCGATTAATAATGAGGCGTCAAAACCATCCAATCACACGCTGTGTATGGTTTGTATGACTCTCGCATCCCTGGGCACAGTTTGACCACAGGGCTGAAGGAACGTCATCGTGCCGCTTTTTCTCCGTCCGTCGATTTGATATTTTCTAATCGTTAATTAAACCGCACGACTACGGACTAAATCTTTTTTCCCTTGCGTGTTAGGTAAGGTGACTGGCTCAGCCGAAGGTATGCGTAGGCATATCTGGAAGAGAAGAGAATGTAGGTATTCCGCACGCACGCACGCCTTTGCTAAATATAGACTTTTACTCTTGTATGGAGTGAAATTACGAATTATCATGTGCTGCGGTTATTTCAGGGGGCTAGGTGGGTGGTCTGGACTTCTTTCTCATTCCACTTCATAGGTAGGTACTTCGCATTCGCCCACATAAGCGCTGTTTCTTTCTTGTCTGTCTTATTCTTATGTCCTTTGCGAGAGGAAACTCAGAAGTTGTTCGCCCTCTGCACGTGTAACAAGACGGAATTGTGAATAGTTGATTGATATCCGTACCAGTAGTTGATATCCAATCACTTTTATAAGCATCATACAAACGATGCGTCGTCTCATTGGAAACCATCAGCTTGAGCCCAGAAAGAGTTTCGGGGTCAAGACAGAAAGCTGAGAACGACCGCCGGCCTGTCAATCCAGTCTGTCAGTACGCTGATCAAGGTATTCGTAAAAGTGTTTTCCTGGTCGCGGGGCTCTGGACTCAAACTAACAAGCCATGATACGGTAGCTTGCATAGAGTCGTGGAGTGATCTTGTGTGTGCGCTTAATTGCCGCTGCACACGCATCCAGCAGATTCAGAACGTCGGACTGGGCTGGGCTTCTGTGAAAAGAGTCTGTGTAGCCGACTCGTGAAGCCTTGGATCTCTTCTACATAGCCATTCAGCTTGGCGTTCCCTGTTGATCCTCCCGTGCACACCGTAGTACACGATTAAGAGATTATTGTCATTGTCTGCATTCGCATAAATTCCCCAGTCTTCATCATCAGGTCTAGATGCGAGATTATTATCGGGATTTGCCGTCTTTCTGTCGAGAACCCGTTGTAGTCTTGGCATATGTTATCGAGTCATGCTACTTCTGGCTCAATCAAGAGCTCGTCCTCTTCCCATTATATCAAGCATGCGTTGACACTTTCATATCACAAGCGACTGCCGTTTAGGAAGGCGTTTGGCCTCATTAATCCTTCGGACAGTACATTAAAATCGTCTCTCTTAGATTCAGCACTTCCAGTACTAAAATAAAGTCTGTATCGACCAGAACACGAATCATAGAAGGACGACAGCTTCATTTTCGTCGTGATCATGCCGGCGCTGGCCCTGTGTAAAAACGTGTACTGTAGCATGGACGTGGGGTAGTGGGGCACCTTTCCCTTTATGTGTGTTGTATGAGCGAGTACGAACCTACCCAAGTACCAATGCTTTATTCTCTCTTCATTCAGTAAATCAATCTACCTTTTTCTCTTCGGGTTTTCAAACATAGGGGCTTATCGCAAAAAGGAAATTCTACGCTAAACTGCTAGCGCCAACTTCATCTCAGCAGTTCTGACGGTATAACCACCCTTAAATCCTTCACTATTATCGCGATGCACTCATTCTCTTGATTTCCTTATAGTTCAACCTTCTATCACAACAATCCCGTTAAGAGAAGCAGTAGTAAGAAGCCAAGAGACTGGCATTGTCACAGTCACAGTCATGGATTGAGGCGCTAAAGGCTCGCTTAGGGCTCAGTCCGTGCCCTTGAGGCTATTCCCATCTTCCTATTTCTCTACTTTCAGCTTTCCTCTCGTAGCTGTCTTGGGCAATAAAACTCTTATATTGATGCTCTACTAAACCCCGACAGACATATGTATTGCAGATTTCAAGGGAACGTTGGCCCATAATTTCGCTTGCTCCCTACTACCTAGGTTTCACTCTAAACAACATCCAACGTCAAACCATCTCTCACCGGGGAATCTAACTACCAATACCCTCAACAAAGGTATATCTATAATCCGATATTTTGATTAGTTGCTTACATCTCACTCAGAATAATCAATTCAAGGGCTGGCTAGCACTGGGCTAACATGGGTGTTTTCACCAGCAAGCCCGCCAGACCGGCGACGGTCCCAACAGACACCATCATCCCACTTCACTCAAAGGACGACACAAAGTCCCTCCGGCCTTTTGTGCTCGACTTCACGTTATGTTTCGACGATGTACTCGACGCCGAAAAACTCCGCAGTTCGCTAGAAAGACTGATGGAGATCGGGGACTGGAGAAAGTTAGGCGCCAGATTACGTCTGAATGTAATTCACTCCCATGGCATGAGATTCATCAGCTGATGAGTATATAGGATGCTGGGAAGCTGGAATACCACATCCCAGCCAGTTTCAACGCGCAGAGACCAGCTTTCAGATACTCGCATATGGAATACGAGACCAGCATCTCAGAACACCCCCTCGCATCCAAGCTCCCGAGACCAACCTCTCGGCCCGCAGTCCTAAACCGCACAGACGAGTTCCAGTCCCTCCTACGCCGCCAAGGCGGCCCGACCAAGCTCGAGGACTACCTGGACTCAGATGACGGGCAGCTCTCCCTCCACATCGTCTGCTTCAGCGACGCCACGCTCGTCACGCTCACCTGGCCGCACACCTTCCTCGACGCCATGGGCCGCCGCGCGCTCTACGATGCCTGGCTCTGCGTGCTCAACGGCCGCGAAGCCGATGTCCTGCCCCTGCACGGCTTCTCCTCCGATCCGCTAGCCGGGCTCGGGACCCAACCCACGGAACCCTACGCGCTAGAAAAGCACCAGATAACAGGCTTCGCGTTCTTCCTATTCGCCCTCCGCTACGCCTTCGAACTCATCTGGTACCCCGCGGAAGAAATGCGCATCATATGCCTCCCAGCACCCCACCTCAACGCCATGAAAGCCACCGCGCTATCCGAGCTATGCGCCAGCTCCCCCGACACAGACACAGACACAGACACAGACACGAAACCCTTCCTCAGCGACGGCGACGTGATATCCGCATGGCTAGCGCGTCTCGCGCTCTCCCCCACCCTCCCCCAGAGCTCACCACGCACCGTCCTCATCATGAACGCCTTCGGCCTGCGGGGCGTGCTAGCAAACGACCTCCTCCCGCCGCGCAAAGCATACATCGCCAACGCCTCCAACAGCGTGCACGCTCTGCTGCCCGCCCATGAGATCCTAACCCGCCCGCTATCGTACACCGCATGCGCAGTCCGCCACTCCATCGCGCAGCAAGGCACGCGCGCCCAGATCGAAGCCCTGGCCGCCATTGAGCGCGCCACCTACGCGTCCTCTGGGCGCTCACCCGTGTTCGGGGACCGCAGTATGAAGCTGGTCGTGGTCAGCAATTGGACCAAGACCAAGCTCTTCGAATTGGATTTCTCGGCTGCCGTGGTGAAGGCGGGAGTGGAAGTGGGACTTGGGAGGAGACATGGAGTAGGGAGGCCGAGATACGTGCATAGTTGTCCGTATTCGAACGGGGTGCCGATCCGGAATGCCTTTCCGGTTTTCGGGAGGGATGCGCAGGGCAATTATTGGATGAGTGGGATGTTGAGGGCGGAGACTTGGAGGAGCATTGAGGAGGGTTTTAAGAGGGAATTATAGATGAAAGATACTACTTACACCATAAAAGGCCTCTAAACCATGCGACCATAGGCAGCCCGCATCTTTACTCCCTTACAGTACTAAAACCCCACTCTTCCTGCACACAATACACTTGCACGTCTTATCACTCGACGTTCTCATACCAAGCCATAGGCTAATCATTATATTCAAGAGCGAGAAGACAAAACTGATAGTGAACTGCAACCGGCAGATGGCTCATCACTAGAGCCGAACTAGCACTCTTTTTCATATTTTCTTTCTTGGGGGGCACGAAAAGCACCAATGAGTCCAAAAACTCAATTGATAAAGGTATCTTAAAACAGACGCTAAAGTAGAGCTATGAACACTACTGATTAACTATAACTACCACCACCACCATCTTCCAAGAATGCAAAACGGGTACAATAAAGCGGCTGCAATGTGAGTTGCTAAACAACACCCGGGAGGAAAACAAGTACCGTACTTGTATCAATTAGAAGTTGTGAGGCTAACAAAGTATAGCTAGCACTTGATCCGTCTTGATATCATAAGTGACTTGAACTCGGCTGGATCGATCTGGTCTCTGCGGAAGAGTCGCCTTCGAGTCCGCTTCTTGGGTTTGCACTTCGCATCTCGCATCGCATTCCGTCTGGGATCATACTATGACATCCCGACGAGATCAGCCTCGTCAATGACCTTTTGTCCTAATGGAACCTCGTCTTCATCACTCTCACCATCCCCGCGTTTCCATTCCCACTCCTCAACCTTATCCAGCACCCACTTAGTCGCCTTGCCTTCATATCGTTTCAACATGTTCCCCAAGCCTGTAACCTCACTCTTCTCTACGGCCCCAAACCGATTTTTGCGCACTTTGCGAGCGTTCTCTTCGTCGTTCCAACAGGAGTGATCAGAGGAGACAAAGATCAGGGAGCTAGCTTTGTACCATGATGAGAGGTATGTGTCTGTTTCGGAGCGGACGGGGCGCAGAGAGCCGCTTACAAACGATAAGACGCCGGGGACGCGGGATTTGACGTCTGTGATGTTGTTAGTCTTGAAGAATGGAGGTAAGAAGAAACAGGGGGGAAATACCTCGAGAAATAAGCAGTTGTTTTATGCCAAGATAGGCATCACCTACCCCCATCAGAGTGAGGGATGCCGAATCGTTGAGTTGGAGATAGTTGTCCCACAGGTAGCAAAGCAGCTCTTTCGATTGCTGCTCTTTAGCTGGCTCCTGAGGTCTTGGGATATAAGCCTCTTCATCCTGGGGAGATGTAACATGTTGCGGTATATTCACGTCGACGACGCCGAATCCGTTTTCGATTGCCCAGTCTATGTAGGGCATTAAGTCGTCACCCTGCACAAATATTAGCCAAAATCATGAATAGAGGATTAGTGATGGCAAACCATAAATGCATTGTGAGCCTCCACTGAGTTATTAAGTGAGTCTGCTTGAGCAACGATCTCAGGCCTAGATCAGTTAGCAAAGGCAGTTCGTCATGGAAAAGGAACATACGAGTCGTGCACAATGAGAATAACCTTCTTGGCGAATTGGATCCTAGGCGTCACCAAGACCTGATCAGCAAAAGACTTACTCAGCATCTTCCGCATTATGGGCATTGAGATCATATTGTGTTTCTTGCTGAGAATTCCCTTCTGATATGCTCTCATGACATCGTGTAGTCTCGGTGCATTGCGATGTTGCAAGTCCTTAATGGGGATAACGCCCGGCCGCATGCACTCCCAATATGGTGCTTGGTATTCTTTGACATGTTGGATATCTCGGGCCGCTTTCTCATTCAGCGGTGGGATAACCATCCTCTCCGGAGGTTCGCCCATCAGTGTCTTTGCGACAGCTAACGCTGATCTCGAAATTGCTCGGAGGTTGTATCCACCCTCTAGACACACTGCAACCTTTCCATTTGCAAGAGACATCAACATGTGCGTCATGTGAGAATAGCAAGCAGGTGTGACATAGCACCCGCCGAGGTCATCACCAGCTGCGGCATCGAAACCAGCAGAGATAATGACAAGATCAGGGTCAAACTCATGAGCTATAGGCATTACAAGCTTTTGAAACGCAGCCATGTATTCACCGTCACCCATTCCCTGATCATGCCATGCGATGTTGACGTTCTTACCAATACCGACGCCAGCACCGCGTTTATCAGGTCCGCCGTCAGGAATACCCTCGTCGTCTGGTTGACCGGGGTAGAACAATCCATTCTGATAGACATGTAGTGAAATATACAGAACATTGGGGTTTTCATAGAACATGTTCTGGATCCCGTTTCCGTGATGTACATCCCAATCCAAGATGAGAATCTTTCTGCAAACATCTGGATAATCCTGCATACAGACACTGGCTGCAATAGGGACATTGTTGAATATGCAAAACCCCATAGACTCGCTAGGTTCGGCGTGGTGACCTGGTGGTCGGATAACAGCAATGGCATTTTTGACTCGGCCCTCAACCACATTTTTACACGTCTCAATGGCACCACCAGCTGAGATAAGGGCCGCATAGTATGTAAGGCTGCCTACATATAACGATTTCCGACCGGCATCGAACCATTCCGTCATCTCACGTAGCTCCTTGGGCGATTTGTTTGACAAATCCTTCACCCAATTAAAATGAGATGCAGTGTGCACAGTGCAGACTTCGTCTTCTCGTGCAACCCGTGCTGGTATCCGCCACATGTATTTGGTGGGCGAATCTTTCAAAATCTCGGCGAGCTCATTTTCTTTGCCTTCAAATAATAATCCCGCATTGCTAAATTCTTTCATGATGGACTCTATTCGACGTGGGTCTTCGGGGTGGTGTGGGTTTTCAGAGAAGTCGGCGTTGGCGTGATACTTCATTCTTATATCGTAACAGCAACCTGTTGGAAGGGAAAGTTTGCGATGGGTGGTTTGGGTTGCGATATCAGATGAGTGCTGCGATTGACTAGGCGTTTCATCATCGGCTGTCCCCGGGAACTGGTTGGTCGTATTTGATGGTTCAGTGCTTTCCAGTGCTCGAGGGTCCACGAAACCATTTTGTAAGTGGCCGTTGGTGTTGGTGTTGAATGAATGTATGTTATCTTGCATGACCGTATCGAGCTGGCTGTCCCGCAGCATGTTTTCTGTCATTACGTGGTCCATGCTGGCAACAGCAAGGTGGGCCTAGAGTGTGATATTGTACAGGAGCAATGCGAGATGTCGTTTGAGGAAGTAACTGGGAAGTTTACTTGCGCAAAAGCTGTCGCTCGGAGCGACGTCTCTCGATGAGCTCTACCAAAGGCCGAAGGGACTCGTCTCTATGCAGAATCTGGCGTTCCGCGGCCTCCTGGAGACTCCAATTATTTGTGAGTGCAATGGCACCAACAGCAAGAGCCGCCAAAGCTACCTAAAATGAGTCAGCAGTGTTTTCACAAGGTAGATGCAGATGGAAAATATACGAAGTAGAGCACGATGTAAAGGATGGAGGCGAGTAGAGGCTGCTCCTGCATCTTAGCTTCTGTCGGATCTCGCGGGGTAGAAGATATATTTATCCAATGGAACTGGTGGAATGGATATCGAAAGAACAATAGAGACGATAAAGATGCAGCAGTGGTGAATGCATGACAATGTATGGAATTCGAATGAAATGTGAAGGGAAGGGAAGAAAGACACAGCCAAGCGCGATGACAATAGAAGAAGGGACAGAGAGATTCGAGAAGCGTCATGTGATGGAAGGCGCGAAGCATATCCATCCATCCTGCACCTTCCCTCCCCATGTTACATAAACCAAGCCTTGCTTGCCCCAGCTCCAGCTCCCACTTCCATCGTTCTTTGCATCCACCAAAACATATAAAGTAAAAAGCCAAGCGTTGAATTCAAAGCGCAATCAAGTGAGTGGTGTGAAATGGATGTGTAAACCGACCTTAACTCTAAACCTTCGACCACCCTCTCCGTCCCGCCTCAATCATACAAGTCCTCCGCTAGTATTATTAAATAATTCGCGCGACACGAAAACACATGTTAAAATCAGAGAGGCCGATGAATTGATGATATTGGGGCGAAATGGGTGTAGATGTGAAAGGGATAGAGATGTTCTAGAAAGAAGACGCGATTCGCGAACGGTGCTAATCGAGGGACGCCGCCTTTGCCGTCTGTTAAAGGCACTGTAAAGCAGCCACATATAGTTGAGTATAGTATCGTATCACCAGATCTTTCATTTTTGATTTACGAGTTTTTCATAGCAGATAGTGGCGTTTAGTTGCTGATGAAGTTATGTCTGCTATGTCGCTATCGAGTAGCTTGCTTTAAGCCCTAAAGCGAATTGTTTTGCTAATATCCAGGGTGTCGTCACCAATCTGCAATCCAAAGATTATAATATGACTAAAGCTAGGTCTCAATTGGCGGAATAGATTCTTGATCATTTATGCCTTATTCAGGAATCAAGTTATTATAGAATAGTCTATATACTAGATTGAGAACGTTCCCGAGAGCCGGAGTTCATATAAGCCTTGGCCTAGTAAAAGTCATAGGTATCATCCTTAAATTGCAGATTTGGTGACAACACCCTATAAATTATAAAATACTGAATATAGCGATATGGCACACAAAATATTATATTAAGATGGATAGATGACAATAATTAAGCGAGTGGAGGAGTGAAATCGATTATTAAATGTTGGTAACACAGGAGTGATCACTTCTACGACATTACTGGTTGTTGTAGACTTGACTGTTTCGTATTGTAATGGATGCAGACCGCCATCGTGGATCTGCTGCGAAGAGGTTATGGTTATGCCTCTTCGCTTGGTCAGCTAGCGCCAAGTCACATGACCACAAAGGCTCAGTCATATTGTCCACACATCAACAATCAATGTCTCACGGAAAATAAAAGTTTCATAGGACATCTAATTTATTGCTATCACAGCCTGCCTTTCAATACATTACTGCAAGGCAAAGGTTACTCATGATTCGTAAGCTCGAGAGGTGGAGGTAAGAATTCCTACTTGGCACCGGCATCAACCTTGGCAATGTAGCTGAGGAGGTCAAGAACACGGCGGGAGTACTACATTTGTTAACAGTTGCACCGTTTTCAAAGGGTGTGTTCACTTACTCCCCATTCGTTATCATACCATGCGACCAATTTTACGAAGTTGTCATTCTATGGGGTGATTAGCGTCATTTTTTCATGTCTCCGACGCTTAAAATGAACTTACCAACGAGATACCAGCCTTGGCATCGAAGATTGAGGAGTGGGTGTCTCCGTTCAAATCGGTGCTGACAACAGCATCCTCAGTGTAGGCCAATATGCCCTTAAGCTCGCCCTCAGAAGCTTCCTTGATGACAGCCTTGATCTCATCATAAGTAGCACCCTTCTCAATGCGGACAGTCAAATCAACAACGGAAACGTTGGAGGTTGGTACACGCATGGACATTCCAGTAAGTTTGCCATTGAGAGCTGGGATGACCTTTCCGACAGCCTTTGCGGCACCGGTGCTGGAAGGGATGATGTTTTGAGCCGCAGTACGGCCTCCACGCCAGTCCTTGGAGGATGGACCGTCGACAGTCTTTTGGGTGGCAGTGTAGGAGTGAATGGTGGTCATGAGACCCTCAATGATGGTGAACTTGTCGTTGATAACCTTGGCAAGTGGAGCGAGGCAGTTGGTTGTGCATGAGGCGTTGGAGATGACCTCAACATCAGACTTGTAGGTCTTCTCGTTGACACCCATAACGTACATGGGAGCATCGCCAGAAGGAGCAGAGATGACAACCTTCTTGGCGCCACCCTTCAAATGAGCCTTGGCCTTCTCAGTGGTGGTGAAGACACCAGTAGACTCAACAATGTAGTATGCACCGGTCTCGCTCCATGGGATGTCGGCGGGCTCCCTCTTGGAGTAGAACTTGACGACCTTGCCATTGACTTTCAAGCCATCCTCGACGGCCTCGATTGTGCCCTTGAATTGGCCATGGGTAGAGTCATACTTGAGCATGTATGCCTGTGCGTTGAAGTCAGCGTCTTTTCCAGTTGAAAATTTGCATTTTTGAAAGCGATAGCGGGGAACTTACAGCGTAGTGGGGTTCAATGAAGGGATCGTTGACGGCGACAATGTCAATGTCATCGTGCTCAACAGCATTGCGGAAGACGATACGACCGATACGGCCGAATCCGTTGATACCGACCTTGGTAGGAGCCATGATTGTGATTCTGGAAGTGTGTTAGATTTGAGGTTGTGATTCAGGGACCCAGATAGCGGGAAGAGCTTCAAACAGAGCTAGAATGAGGGGTAGAATGGAACAGATTGATGGAGATGGAGCGGTGGATGGGCAGAGGAAGGAGGTTATATACATACAAGTATGATCTGGAGAGGGATTTCTGTTTCAGGTGGTTGTTATTGCAAGAGATATGGTGAGAGGGAAGACTCGGCGAGAGAGGGAGGAAGAAGGTTTGTTTTGTAGTGGTGGGGTGTTTATTCGTTGGGCAGAGCGGGCACTCATGACATATCTAGGCACGCTAGGCGTGGGGCTAAGTATAAGGTGGAACTTCTGCCAGTACACGGAGTAACGAGGCTGCAATCATATTAATTTAGGACACTTGTATTAATTAATTATCTGCTTGGTATTGCCTGCCATCTTATCACGCCGAACCCCTTCCCGGCCGAGAAGCCTTTTCTTTATTTGCGCAGCAACTCGGGTACTTCTTGGATGAGCATGATAATATCCATTTTTATACGTATATTCCGTAGTCCTTCCTTGGAAAGTCATCTAGCTATAAGATACTCGCGCCAAAGGCTCGGAATGTTTCGGTAGTCTGGTAAACTCACGATAACTCGGCTGAAGGATTGAAGAGTTATCCGAATATCCTAAATACCTTGGTCCGAATCATGCCATGGTAAGGGTATAAATATTAGAAACATGAGCTTCCCTCGTAAACAAAGTTGAAGCTCTTCCATGCACGCTGGGATGCCAGTGATTGCTCAGTCCCACTTCCCGGCCGGTCAGCTAAGATCTTGCCACTCCTACCTACCCACTCCATCCTCCAAACACGTGTTGTGCAATTTCTCCTATTGCATGATATGATCTATTGACTCGATTATTATCACCTCATCAGCTTGGTCAATCCTAACGAGATATCATGAATGCTGGCGCTATTGCTTTCACTCCTGACAAATATTGCCTGTGTGTGGTGACCGGCGAGAAGCTCGGGTTTTCTTTTTTGCTGATAACGCCCCACGCTCAAGACAGTGCGAAGCTTGAATACGTGCGTCAAAAGACTTTAATTGTCAGGCAAAGGCCCGACTTGTTAGTATAAATCATAAAAGTCCCAGTCAATTAACAGCTTTAATATTATGAACACCTTGATCCTTAATCAGAAGCATGGAAAGAATGGACTTTCTCTAGAATCACGTGAGGCTTGGAGTTACTGGTAGTCGGTATCTTTAGCTGGAACCTGGTACCTGTCCCATTCTTCTTTTTATTCTCTACAAGGTTCTAAGCGCCATTACAGGTTGTTCCGATCTTCTGTAAATCTCATAAGCCTTGCTGGTTCACAAGAAAGTAAAGGCAATGAAGCAATGTCACGTGAGAACGCAAGGAATATTGTTTTCTGTTATATTTATAAGCTTGCTTCCATCTCTATTATACGTCATTGGTTGAAACTGAAGAATACGCAAGGTCTAGAAGCTATGCAAAGCAATTAGATCGGCAAAATCAAATATCAACTCTTTTTATGACCCTTCCGGATACTTGGAATCTCAAGAGTAGCTACCAACAGACACCTTCTTCCCAAAAATTATTATACAGGACTTTATAACTCAGCACTTGATTATTGTCTAAGTTTGAAAGGGCTAGTCCTTTCGACATTATATATCCCGGATTACTCCGAAGTATAGAACTGGGTTGTCAACCTATAGACTTGGTAAGAAGCAACCTCTAACTCCCCAAACAAGTAATCAGTCAAGACATGAGAGGACCGACAAAATCAAACCAGCTTAAGCAAAAATAACTAAGGAAAACAAATATAAAATGCTCTCTTTACGCTTGAATAGCCTTTGCCATTACCCCGGAAGCTTGATTAAGTAGAGAGGAATCAAAGTAGAAAGTTCAAGAAAACAACCAAACACAAACCTTTCTATATCAATTTCAAATATAGATTCTTCACAAAACGGAACAGATAAATCCAATCAATAACAATAGCACATAAAGATAAAAGCCCAGAACAATAAATACAGTACTGTGCTGTGCCCCTGAACAACATTCCTTACGTAAGCGACCCTCTAGTCAAAATATTCCAACTCGTACGACGTCGAAACCTCCTACATCCATCATCCCATCCCAAGTACCTCCGTACCATTTATCAATTGAACACACCCTCTCCTCATAATTGACGCCTCCCTCTCCACTCTCGCAACAACCCCCTCACACCCACAAATATGCTGCGACAATCAATTCTACGCAGCTCTGCTTCGCTCACCCGCAGCCGCACAGCAGCAGTCGCGGTCCGTACCGTCCACGCCCACGCCGTCTCCAACCCAACGCTGGCTGGTATCGAGAAGCGATGGGAGACCATGCCGCCGCAGGAACAGGCCGAGCTGTGGATGCAGCTGCGCGATCGCATGAAGGTTAATTGGGCCGAGCTGACGCTACAGGAGAAGAAAGCTTGTATGTCCTCATATCCGCCGTCCCATGCTCTCTCCACCTCACCTACACCTCTCCAATGCCAATGCCCAATGCCCACCACGCATCAATTGCACCGGAAGTAGTGGGGTGAAAAAGAGTTAAACCGGAGAACAGGAGATTTAGCTAACACTGTCTCGAATAAACAGCATACTACATCGCCTTTGGCGAGCACGGTCCCCGCGCCGGCACACCTCCCGGAGAAGGCTGGAAAGTAGCAGGTTTAACTGCCGCTGGCCTCGGTGTAGCCTTTGTGCTTTTCTGCACTATGCGGCTGTTTGCTGGCTCGGCGCCAGGTACGATGAACAAGGAGTATCAAGAGGCTACGAATGAGTATTTGAAGGTATGTACATTCTTACTCTTCCTTTCCGTTACCATAAATATGATTGAGCTTTGCTTCGACGGGGGATGGAATTGAATTGGATGTAATGGAATTGGGATATGATATGATATGATGTTATTATTTTTGGAGGGGCATTTTGCTGACCCACTCCCCCCAGGCACAAAACTCAGAACCAATCTCCGGTATCTCATCCGAAGGATACTCAGGAAAAGGACAAGTACAAAGCGCGCCAAAGAAGGACTAAACCCTTCACCATAAAAACAAAACAGAACCCAATATCTTGGTTCCCTTTTCTTTTGTAGAAACTGCATGCGAACGGACGAATGGATGGGACGTAACTTGCACATATTGAGTTGGATGGGAGTGTATCTTTCTACGGGGATGGGAAGTGATGTGATGTGATGATGAGGGAGGGAGTAAGTAAGCGGGGAGGGATAGAAGAAAAGAAACGAAGAACTTGTACAAATTGCGACTTTACTTGACTTACTTGCGCGTTGGAGAATTGAAGATGTGTTAATCTATACTCGCTCTATTCCTGTCTTGCTAAAGTGATCTATCTATCTATCTATCTATCTATGAAACGAGTAAGCCTGAGACTGCAAGGGAATAACACAACCAACTATCTTATCTATCTATCCCTCCATCCATCCATCCCTCCATCTATCAAAAACCAAGCAACAAACAAAAACGCACAGGAATCTTTCTCTAGATCAAGTCTATCACTTACATAAATGGGCTTGGTTGAAGTTAACATACCAGATGTAAGGGATAACTAACTAGGTAGCTGGTTGTTAGTCCGGTCTTGTCTATATGTCTATCTATCTATCTATAAAATAAACCATCCCATTAAAACGTACAGGGATATTTCTCTGCGTAAAGGAAGGAATGGAATTAAATCAAATCACATGTACAAAAGTATGGATTTATATATTTTTCTTTCTTGCATTTACTTTTATATTCGCTCACTCACTCACTCACTACACATATATACATATCATTACTATCAATCTATCCATACGTAACATATTTACACCCCCCTCTTTCACTCTCTTATATAAAACCCCTAACGCCTTGTTATTCCCATCCATCCATCATTCATACCAGTCCTCCCTCTCAATAGAAGGAAGATACTCACTCATAACCACAATCTTCTTCTCGATGCCCTCACATTCACATCACATCCCTGAACTCCCCACCCTCCTCAACCGTTCGAAACTCCCCGCCCCCTGATCCAGCCCATCACCATCTCCCGGCATCCTCCCAAACCAAACCCCCTCCTCCTTCTCATACGCCTCGTCGAAAAGTTTACTCTGGCCTCTCGACCAACAACGCGGCATTTTAGCTTTCTCTTCATCTCCTTCATCTTCAGCTATACTATTTTCAGGCTTGCCGGAAGCAGAAGAAGTATGGGAGCGCACGAAAGCCTCATCAATCAAACAAAACCTAATCCCACTCCCCGGTCCCCAAAACATTACCTCCTGCAACACGCCTTCCAGTATCCCCCTCAACCCCCTCGCGCCAATGCCACCCCCCTCCTCCACCCTGCCAAGCGCTCTCTCGGCAACGGCATGCAGCGCGCCGGTGGAGAAGCGCAGGGAGATGCCGTAGGTGTTGAAGAGCGCCGTATATTGTTTGACGAGAGAGTTTTTCGGCTCGGTGAGGATGGAGATTAGGTGGGTACGGGAGAGGGGCGACAAGGAGACGGTGAGGGGGATGCGGCCGAGGAGCTCGGGGATTAGGCCGTAGGATTGGAGGTCGGTGGGCGTTACTTTGTGCAGGTTGCTTTTTGGTGATTTTTTATTCCCAGTTGGCGAATTTTGACTTGGGACATGGGGATCTTTTAGCTGTGCTCCGAATCCTATACTGGTACCGGAGGATAAACGTTTGGAGATGATGGACTCCAGACCAACGAATGCGCCGGCGAAGACGAAGAGGATGTTGGAGGTGTCGATGGTGTATTGCTCGCCTTTAGCCGCAGCGGGTGTCTTATCCCCGCCGTCTTTTGACTCGGGTTTGGAGCTTTTGTCAGCGGTCGTTTTCACGGTTACTGTCGTGCCTTCTATCATTTTCAATAAACCTTGCTGGACCCCCTCACCAGATACATCACGACCATGGGTCATAACAGCCGGTTTTGCCAGCTTGTCGAGTTCATCAAAGAAAATAATGCCCGTCTCGCATTTCGAGACGGAGTGCGACGATGCGAGGAGGAGTCGCTCGATCGAGGACTCGATGTCCGTTCCTATGTACCCGGCTTGGGTTAGGGAGGAGCAGTCTACGGTTGCAAAGGGGACTTCGAGGACGCGGGCGAGGGTTTGGAGGATGTAGGTTTTCCCTACGCCCGAGGGGCCGAGGAGGAGGAGATTGGATTTCTCTATGGTGGTTGGGGAGTTGTCGTAAAGGAGTTGGGAACCTAGTTCCGGCTCTACGCGTCTGATGGCATTTAGGTCCACGGTATCAACGTGCCCGGGATATTCATCTGAAAGTGCGTATGTTAGTGGATGTCAGGTGATGGCGTGAAAGGGACGTACTTTCAACAGGATGAGAACTCTCTTCGTTTTCCCTGTCCCGGCGTGCTTTACGCTGGCGTTCTTCTTTTGCATATCGCTCCTCCTCTTCTGCTTCTTGCCGGCGAAGTTCTCGGATGCGTTGGTAGTGGTTGAAGATGGCTACACTAGTGACTTTCTTTGCTTTGTCTTGTCCCACCACAAACTTATCGAGGTGCTCTTTCAAGAGGGATGGGGTGAGTTTCGATGCTCCTGTTCTGGATGCCTCGGATAAGGGACCTTCAGTAGGTCGACCTGGCTCATATGTGCCTGTCCAGCTATGACTTTGGAAGTCTGAGCGGCGGAATTGGGAGTTTAGTAAGCGTGGGATGGTGGAGAGATGGCGGCGGTTGGGGTTGAATATGAGGAGTGATCTAGGGGAGGGGTTGAATGGGGACGTCCGGTAGATGACCGGCATGTTGGTGAGAGAGAGAAACTATCATAACTGCTTCATAGAGGAGGATAAGGCTCTTGTTGTACAATCAGTCCAATGCAGTGCTGGAGTGAGAAGGAAGATGTACGTGAATGAGTGATGTGGTGATGCTGCGGGGTGCGATATTGCGTAAGCGTAGAAGCTTAGATGGGAAGCTCTGGGGAAATTGTGGGGTGAAGGTGAAGGGGGGTTCTTTCGGGTTTGAAGGTTTTACTGTAATAGACTGAGGTAAGATAAGATGGGAAAGAAGAAGGATGAAATTCAGACTCACACTATACAATAGACAGAAACTCAAACCCAATATCACGTGTAGATATTCATCTCGTTGAGGCCTCATTGCTGGAAAGGGAATCGTTGCCGATGAATTGCTGCACAGGACAGGGATGCAACGTCATGGCTGGAGAGCTCACCTTGTGGGCCTGACATGGTTGCTGCTGCCATATGAACTGTTGGAGGCGAAAAGAAACGACCCCGCACAATATTTCGCTCTATTCCATTCGACTGGGGAAGAATAAAGACCTGATCCTGATCCTGTTCTCTTCGGTTGTGATTGATGAATTGGCATTGATTGAAAGCTCAAGAACACCTCCCCACCAGCTCTTCACCTTTCCCGTCAACCCGAGTCTCTCACTGGACAAGACAACAACAACGCAATTATGGACAATATCAATGAGCATTCTGCCAATTCAGTCGTCGCTGGCGGTGCTGCAGATGGCCTGCCAAACGATGGCACAGGTATGCTCACAATCTCGGGAAGCTTGCACGTTGCTGATTGTCATAGGTGTGGTTCAACTCGACCCATGGCTGGAGCCATTCAAAGGCGCCCTCCGAGAACGATACAGCAAAGCACAGGAATGGATAAAGACAATCGACGAGACAGAGGGAGGATTGGAGAAGTTTAGCAGAGTTCGTGGATCTTATTCATTCCTAGAACCCAGGCTGACCGGACCAGGGAACTGAGAAATTTGGCTTTAATGTGGATAAAGACAACAACATCACCTATAGGGAATGGGCGCCTAATGCAACCCAAGCATTTCTCATTGGTGATTTCAGTAATCTTCTCCATTTCCGTGTACCTCCTGTGGAGGAGACTAACAGTTAGCAGATGATTGGAGTCGGGAGTCGCATCCTATGAAGAAGGATACGTTTGGTGTATTCGAAGTCATCATACCTGCGAAAAATGGCCAACCTGCAATTGCACACAACTCCAAAATCAAGGTATGCTTAACCTCCCCCTGAACTTCATCTGCTAATTCTGATTCTCCAGATCTCCATGATCACACCCTCCGGCGAAAGAATCGAACGAATACCAGCATGGATCAAATATGTCACTCAAGACCTCTCTGTATCTCCGGTTTACGATGGTCGATTTTGGAACCCTCCTGCCTCCGAACAATATAAATTCAAACATCCCAGACCAAAGAAGCCCCAAAGCGCGAGGGTATACGAAGCACACGTTGGGATCTCTTCCCCTGAGTTGAGAGTGTCCACATACAAGGAGTTTACGAAAAACATGCTGCCGAGAATACATCATCTGGGATACAATGTTATTCAGCTCATGGCTATCATGGAGCATGCATACTATGCAAGCTTCGGCTACCAAATCAACAGCTTCTTTGCTGCAAGCAGTAGATATGGTACGCCAGATGAGTTGAAGGAGCTCATTGATACCGCACATGGACTGGGAATTGTTGTCCTTCTGGATGTTGTACACAGCCATGCTTCGAAGAATGTCCTCGATGGACTGAACGAGTTTGATGGTTCAGACAGCTGCTATTTCCATTCTGGTGCAAAGGGCAAGCATGAGCTATGGGACAGTAGGTTGTTCAATTATGCAAGTCATGAGGTTCTGAGGTTTCTGTTGAGTAATCTGCGGTTCTGGATGGACGAATATAACTTTGATGGATTTCGATTTGACGGCGTTACGAGCATGCTTTATACCCATCATGGAATTGGAACGTAAGTTGGATTACTGCACCGATAAGTTCAACGCTAATCAAGATGCAGGGGATTTTCAGGAGGTTATCACGAATATTTTGGTCCTGGTGTTGATCAGGATGGGGTTGTCTATCTCATGCTTGCAAACGAGATGTTACACAAACTATACCCTGAAAGCATTACAATTGCTGAGGATGTCTCCGGCATGCCTGCATTGTGTGTTTCCTTGTCTCTCGGTGGCATAGGATTTGATTACAGACTGGCAATGGCTATCCCAGATATGTGGATCAAGATTCTAAAGGAGCAGGAAGATTCTCAGTGGGATATGTCGAGTATTTGTCATACGTTGACAAACAGACGTCACGGCGAGAAAACGATTGCTTATTGCGAGAGTCACGATCAAGCGTAAGTTGAATGTCCCTCGATCTTTCAAATTCTAATTCTGGCTAGTTTGGTCGGAGACAAATCCATCATGATGCATTTGTGTGACGCAGAAATGTATACCAACATGTCTATCCTTTCGGAATTCACACCCGTCATTGAGCGAGGCATGGCATTGCACAAGATGATCCGCCTCTTGACCCATGCTCTAGGCGGTGAAGGATATCTCGATTTCGAAGGGAACGAGTTCGGCCATCCAGAATGGCTCGACTTCCCTCGTGCAGGGAACGACAACAGTTTCTGGTACGCACGTCGTCAATTTAACCTCCCAGACGACCAACTACTGCGGTACAGATTCTTAAACGAATTTGATGCAGCCATGAATCGCACTGAAGATAAGTATGGTTGGCTACATTCTGAACAAGCTTACATCAGTTTGAAAAATGAATCCGACAAGGTTATTGTATTTGAGCGCGCTGGTCTCCTCTGGATCTTCAACTTTCACCCTACCAAGAGTTATGCAGATTACAGGGTTGGCGTTGAGCAAGCTGGTACTTATAGAGTCGTTTTGAACAGTGATGCGAAGGACTTTGGTGGGTTCGAGAGGATTGATTCTGGGACTAGGTTCTTTACGACGAACTTGGGGTGGAATGGACGACAGAATTTCACACAAGTTTATGTTCCTACTAGGACTGCTATTGTAAGTCATATTGCTTGGGGACAAAGGGTACTGCTGATGATCAATAGGTTCTTGCTCTTGAGTCGACGCTGTGAGATTGTGCATAGGATTGGGTTGCAGATGTTGGAATGGGCCGATATTGGGGGTCAGGAGCTTTTAGATTTCTTAGTTTCTTGAGCAGTGCTTTCCTACGTTTCTAGTTATGAGAATCAAAATCATAACAAATAAGTATAACGACTTATTATATATCCGCAAATGATGCAGTTATAATGTAGATGACAGAATGTCCTAAGTAGAAGTAAGCATTCAGCGCTAGTCTATCGTTTTTAACCAGAATCGTAGGATCAGAAATCTTCTGACTTCCGAAAGGCAATCCTGTAATAATGCCCCATGTTGAATGGTACATAAGAGTTTATATGCAAGTTTGCATGAATGATGCAGTATAATATTGTGAAATATATGTACAGAGAAATGTTCAATAATTGTTTCCGAGACTTTCGGCTAAACTCGGACATTAGCATCACGTGGGACGCTAGCCAACTAGCTTACTCCTACTGTTTCCTGAGCTTGCGACCTCAGATTTCTCATACTCCATATCCTCAACGACCTCCGTATCTCCCCTCTCCTACACAACACCCTCACTCATCTTGCAAGATGTTCAGGAGGTATGTATCTCCCGCGAGCCTCACTACAGCGTTCCCGCGGGTCACAATGGATCAATTGAGCTGACATGGTGGTCTTCGCAGCGCCCTTGCCAAGCAAGCTTTCCGGCTTTCAACCCGACCTGCAGTCTCGAATAATGTACTCAGAGCATCGGCTGCACGGTTTGCAAGCACCGACTCAGCGTTGAAGGGAAAGATTCATCAGGTCATTGGTGCTATCGTAGATGGTAAGTAAAACTCTTCCACAACGACAACACCGAGCTCCGCGCCAACCGAAAAAAATGGTCGAGGAGCTTGAGACTCGATGAATTGGCAATGCTAACAGGTTGTTATAGTAAAATTCGATACCGATAAGCTCCCTCCGATTCTTAACGCCCTTGAGACAAGCAATGGTGGTCAAAAGCTTATCCTTGAGGTCGCGGTACGTCAACACAGTCGATCATAACAATCATCATACATATACTGACGGCTATAATAGCAACATTTGGGGGAGAATGTCGTCCGGACAATTGCTATGGATGGTACTGAAGGTCTCGTACGTGGTCACTCTGCATCCGACACTGGCAACCCAATCATGGTGCCCGTCGGTCCAGGAACTCTTGGTCGCATCAGTAAGTAACCCCTTTCTTCAATTCTCTTACTTGACTTTGCAGTGTTGGGAGTCCCGAAGAGTGTTTTATCTTCTAGACTCTGGTTTCTTCCAAGAAACCAAATACTAACTCGTCATAGTGAACGTCACTGGTGACCCAATCGACGAACGTGGCCCAATTGAGCACACCAAGAAGCTGCCAATTCACGCCGATGCTCCTTCCTTCACCGATCAATCCACCTCCGCTGAGGTCCTGGTCACTGGTATCAAGGTCGTCGACTTGCTCGCCCCATACGCTCGTGGTGGAAAGATTGGTCTTTTCGGAGGAGCTGGTGTCGGAAAGACTGTGTTCATTCAAGAGTTGATCAACAATATTGCCAAGGCTCACGGTGGTTACTCTGTCTTCACTGGTGTCGGAGAGCGAACCCGTGAGGGTAACGATTTGTACCACGAAATGCAGGAGACCTCGGTTATTCAACTTGATGGACCCTCAAAGGTCGCCTTGGTCTTTGGTCAAATGAACGAGCCCCCCGGAGCCCGTGCTCGTGTTGCTCTTACTGGTTTGACAGTGGCTGAGTACTTCCGTGATGAGGAGGGACAAGATGGTGAGTTATCTGCGGAAGAAATCTGCGACATTTGCTAACTAATACAGTGTTGCTCTTCATTGACAACATTTTCCGTTTCACCCAAGCCGGTTCCGAAGTGTCTGCCCTTCTTGGTCGTATCCCATCTGCTGTCGGATACCAACCTACTCTCGCCGTAGACATGGGTCTCATGCAAGAACGTATTACCACCACCACCAAGGGATCCATTACCTCCGTCCAAGCCGTTTACGTGCCTGCCGATGATTTGACTGATCCTGCCCCTGCCACCACCTTTGCCCATTTGGACGCCACCACTGTGTTGTCCCGTGGTATCTCCGAGTTGGGTATCTACCCTGCTGTCGATCCTCTCGATTCAAAGTCCCGTATGTTGGATCCCCGTGTCATTGGACAAGACCATTACGACACCGCCACCAAGGTCCAACAGATGTTGCAAGAGTACAAATCGCTCCAAGATATCATTGCCATTCTAGGTATGGATGAGTTGTCGGAAGGTGACAAGTTGACTGTCGAGCGTGCCCGAAAGCTGCAAAGATTCTTGTCGCAACCATTCGCTGTTGCCCAGGTTTTCACTGGTATCGAGGGTGTTTTGGTTGACTTGAAGGATACGATCCGATCATTCAAGGCCATCATGAACGGAGAGGGAGATGACTTGCCGTGAGTTTTTCTTTCCAAGACTTTTATAACTTGAGAGAACCAATGCTAACGTGTGTTTCAATGCTAGTGAAGGCGCCTTTTATGCCCGTTTACCCTATTCCCTTTCAAAGAATTCATGCTAACTGTGTTGTAGATGGTCGGCGATATCGATGCTGCGCGCGCGAAGGGTGAGAAGATTCTGGCGGATCTTGAGAAGGAATAAGCTGTGTAAAGACAGGGTAGAGTGGGGGCATGTGTATAGCTGGGCTGGACTAGGTGTGCTTTTGGGGGTGTGATTGTGTACAGATGGTGGAAGAAAAAAAGGACATGGACAAAAACTCCTCCTCCGCGTCGTATTCGCATCTCCTTTAGCTTGTAACAGAAGATATTTCTCCTTTTTGTAATGCAAACTGACTTGTCTTGATGTGATGTGTGAGCCTCCGAATGGGCGAATGAATAGTATTCCCAAGTGGGGAGCGGCAGACCTCAAATCAATACTCTATAGTTGCGAAAAAGCCGGCGGTGTTAGGATATAGGGATTTAATTGTATCCCGACCTTCCTCTACTTAGAATCGAGAAGCAATGCAATCGACATCAACTAGAACCAAGAAAGATCACGTCATACTAATTAGTAGGAAGTCATCACCTGTGATATGATATCAACAGGCTGCATGTTATTCTTCTGATGATGATGATGATAATGGTTATGAAGGAAGTCTCCGTATGTAGCATATATCTGCGTCTGTGGAAGGAACTACCTGTAGTGGAATAATGTCTCACTCACTTGGAGATTTCATATATGAATGTATGTATAGCATAAGAAAGACCTTGCGCAGGTACGAGACCATTCCGTGATATCTATCATGTACTCTGTGTTACAAAAGAAAAGTCAAGCTCTGTTTAGCAAGGCAGGCAGCCAGACAGCTAGTCAGTGCCTGGTCAATTAGTTAGTTCATTTGAAGGCGTGCAAATCACAGCGGGTAGAAGGAGGGGAGGTGGAGCTTTGCTACCTGTGGAAGGGGTTCTGGTTCTGGTTCTGGTTCTGGTTCTGGTTGGTTTATTAGGATAGATCAATGTAGGTGTTCTTTTATAAGTTTCCCTCTTTATCTCTCTTCTCTCTTCTCTCTTCTTATCCTCTCTTTCCAACTCCGCTCTTAATATTACGGATGAATGCAATAAACACCCCTGCGCTTTTCACAGGAATGCCACTCATGCATGAAATGGCATGGCATGGTATGGTATAGTCAGCGCTATATCTCGTCTCGACTCAGGTATGATTCGCACCTTAGAAACATCAATGGACGGATCTGTGATCGTTCGAGAGGGCGGCTGTGCTGCCGTTGGTCCTGTTACTGCTACTCTCACTCTGGGGCGGAGTACTTTGAATTGTAGTACTACAATTGGAAGTCCTCCTGCCTATTGCACCCGAATGTAAGAGACAAAGTCGTACTACTGACCCGTGAATTGAAGCCTATGAGATTAAAAGAATCTTTGTATCCGCCAAGAAACCGTGAGCCTTTATTGCCATATCCATTCCCATTTGACAGCATGCAATCGAGCCCCAGAATCTCTCGCAATGTGTCTTAAGATTTCAGCCGTGGTGTTTCTACAAACCTTCAGCCTTCTTTATAAGCTTTGGTAAGAGCTTGCCTTGAGCTATGAAAGCGGGAATGATTGCTCGTTTCGCCTCATTCTTCGAATGGGTTAGTCCTGTGGTGAGGAGTATTTGTATAAGAGTCTCGAACAGATCGTTCTCCCAATCGTCTCGATTATACCCCCCGGTGACAGATTCCTCACTTCGAGGTCTTGCGGTTGTACTAGCGGCCAGTCTGATCGAAACCTGCTTGTCGGGGTCCTCTCTCAATAGCGCTAGCATAAATGTAGAGAAAATGACGAGGGCTAGACTTTCAAGGAAAGAGGATCCGTTGGAGAGCGAGAAGAATTCTGTCATTGACCTCTCTGGACTTAATACTTGTCTGGTGAGCATCATGTCAGTCACGCGCGCAAAATTGCAAGACTAAAAGTTAGAGCGTACCCATGGTCATTGTACTTCATAGCAGAATATGGAAGACCAAATATCGTATCCGATATGTTTGAGTCCAGAAATTTGGAGTAATTGTCCCTTATTGGACCAGAAACTTTGCTGTTGCGAGCTCTCACAAAACGCTCTGTGTATCCAATCATTCTCGATATGAGTAACGCCTTTTGGTCCAGTAGTTCTCCATCCGTCGCGCAACTTCCAACAATATGCCATGTCTGAATTCCAAATCTGTCGATGGGCGATCCTTGTTCCATAGCCCTTGTAAAAGAGTACATTGCAAGACTCAATATAGCCTCAATGTGCTTCATCTGGCTCATCTTCGTTTTGCCCCCTGGCGGAGAGGTCTCTGGTCCCAGTTTCCCAGACATTCAAGAACGTCAGACGTGGTGCGAAGAGTTCCTCCTGGCCCTCGCTACCACCTAAATTTGCACTGGGTACAATCTCTTGCAAGAGTATTTTCTGACCCCACCTGAAGTCAGGAACAGAGAACTCATTAAGCATTGCTTCGATGGTGTGGTGGAGTTTTGCAGCCATATTTTTAATTTCCACGCGGCCGGGTTCTAAGTCTAAGAGTAGCTTCACCGAAGAGAGCATACGATCTACTGTATCTCTGGCTCGGTGGGATAGGTCTGCCTCAGTCTGACCTTGGATCGCTAAGGGTTGGGTGTCAGATGGTTTGAAGAAAGCAGGAGGGATCTCAACGGGTAGGGCAGCAGACTGATAAGAATCCTTCTTCGAAGGTTCCTCCTCACTTTTCCAAGCGCTCATGCTGCCAAAGTGTATCTTCCAATACCTCACGTCATGCAGGACATAAGTAAGATGACTTGCTTCGAATCCCTTTCTCAACTTCAATACCATAGACGGCGATTCAGCAACGTGTTGCCGGACCAGAGCTCGGAGGAGAGCAAGAATCAGAGTTGCCAACAGCTGAGAGATACCTCCAGACCAATGCAGTTCCCTGGTACCAATGTTCTGGCAGATGAATCCAGCAATAGCAAGGAGAGTGCCCAAGACAGTCACTATGCCTTGCCTATTGCTTGCTGCTCCAGAGTCGGCTTTAACATTCGGGAGGACTTTTTTGAACAGGGTACCAAATATGGCTCGTGCTCGTAGCCGTGTGGGAGGAGGTACTGTTCTGTGAGAAATGCGAAATCTAGGGTCTTTGGCTTCGTTGAAGATTGCAAACGTTGGAAGATTTGCCGTTGAGATGGCCTTTTGAAGCCTTAAAACACGGAAACTAAATAAGTCCTCAAGAGCCTGGGAAGGGTTTTCAGGACCTTGCGCTTTGGTTGCATCTCTGCCACTCTCGAGTTGAATGGTTGCCTTCTGCTCAAAATTTGGCTCGGCAATATATTCAGTCGTGCTTACTTCCACCACAAGTGCACACAGGCACACCCCAAGGGTAATGGAAAATGTGCCAATAGCCCAAACGGGATAACCATATGATGCAACGACGGAACCTTGTCTCAGCCAATGCCAGCGGTAAACTGCCAGGCCGTTGAAGACGCACACTACAAATTGTACCACAAGTCCGACTGCGGTGAAGAACCAGACAGTTGATTTCGAAGGAATGGCCTTTGGAATATTAAGAGTCAAACTGGGCGCCTTTTCGTCCAACATCGCCGCAAGTTTTACACCCTCCTTGCTAGTCTCAAGATTTTCCTCGTCTGATTGAGAGATTTTGCTGGCTACGGATTGTTTCCAACGATAAAGCGGCATGACCCTCTGATTGATTGCATTTTTACGACGGAAGGCATCCTTCAGGGTCCGCAGGCCTTCGCGTGTATCTTGTACTGCCGGGTGGCCCCTCTTTTGCACCGTGTATACAAGCTCAGTGGTTTGCGACTCGCCTGACTGCCGTATGACACGATTTCCATCCCAGATCTCGCGAACGTTTCTTGAAGTTGAAGATAGGATATCCTTTTCTTCGTCATCCGGAGAGTCTCGGGCTCTGTGGGAATTATTAGCATAGGCTTGGATAAGAAATATACGGCACAAGAAAGCCTTTCCCGAACGGTCCCAGATTTCACGCGCCAGAAACCGCCTTACCTCCCAATAAAAGTTTTCATAAGCTGAAAGCCACCAATCCGTATCGCACTGACAATAACAGTTACAATCCCAATAGGCGCAAGGCCCAGCAGAATATTATCACCCCATCCCATTGACGTCGCCAAGAACTGCTTCGTAACCTCACCACCGAATAGCGTAAGTAAAGGTGCAAAATCAGTGAAGAGGCCAGTCGCAAAATTCTGCGAATTAATTCCTGATGTAGGACTGGGACTGGCCGAACTGGCCGCTGAGCTTGTTGATGTTGCCATAAATATTGTGCCTTCAATGCAATATTTATAAGTGGGTGTAAGAGATTCGGGCACTTGAGGAGCTGGGTGCATGCACTTGATACTTTATTGCAACGCAATTTCGAAAGAAATACAACTGGGCATCGGGTATGTGAGATAGGATAATTTGTTATGGCTGCATCATCCCTACTATCCCCTCAGCTGCGAAGGTCCCGCATCCAAAGTTCGCTTCTTTGATTTGCTGAATCACCTCACCTTCGAGCTGAGGGGATAAACGTGGCACCTATCGCTACGCTTGGACAAATAAATAGAGAAGAAGAAAAAGAGCAAAGTATAACAAGCAGGCAAGAAATCTCCCACCACCCGAGAATCTATTTCCATAATAAATGCCTACAAGAGTCATTCAATGATATAATTCCAACTTTGACCAGAAAACTCTCAAGAGAGCAATCCAAAAGCCTTCCCAAATCAAAACGCAAAAGATTGGATCAACGCATCAGTACAAGATAACGCCTCAGCCTGAGCCTCAGCCTCGGAAACTGCCTTGCAGCTTTGTGCAACACAATTGCTTTGGTAATGACCTTGTGACTATAATATTCCCCTCTATTTGAGATAGACCATTAGGAAGAGATGTTTGGGCAGTACTGCACCCATATGCTTTGCCCTTGGCGTGCACGGTGAACTTTAAGACTATGTGACATGAGCACTGAAGAGTATACCTCACGCCTAGTGGATATACGAGCATCAAAGAAGCGAGCGAGGAAAGAAAGAAATGCAAGATTGTCGATAAGACGATTCGCAAAAGAAGAATCATCAAGGATGGATGGATAGATGGATGGCATAACTTCTTGAAAAGGGATAGGAGTCATGACTAAACCATGACTA